GTGGGAGGAAACCGGAGGACCCAGAGAAAACCCATAAGGCTGGACAGACGACCCTACTCCTTGTCACATACAACCGGGGAATCGGAACCATGTCAGTTGACTAAATGGCAGACCATATGATACAACACGCACGTGCTAACCTTTCGGCCATCCAACCCCCCTACCTGTCATATGATACAACACGCACGTGCTAACCATTCGGCCATCCAACCCCCCTACCTGTCATATGATACAACACGCACATGCTAACCTTTCGGCCATCCAATCCCCCTACCTATCATATGATACAACACGCACGTGCTAACCTTTCGGCCATCCAACCCCCCTACCTGTCATATGATACAACACGCACGTGCTAACCATTCGACCATCCAACCCCCCTACCTGTCATATGATACAACACGCACGTGCTAACCATTCGGCCATCCAACCCCCCTACCTGTCATATGATACAACACGCACGTGCTAACCTTTCGGCCATCCAATCCCCCTACCTGTCATATGATACAACACGCACGTGCTAACCTTTCGGCCATCCAATCCCCCTACCTGTCATATGATACAACACGCACGTGCTAACCTTTCGGCCATCCAATCCCCCTACCTGTCATATGATACAACACGCACGTGCTAACCATTCGGCCATCCAACCCCCCTACCTGTCATATGATACAACACGCACGTGCTAACCATTCGGCCATCCAACCCCCCTACCTGTCATATGATACAACACGCACGTGCTAACCTTTCGGCCATCCAATCCCCCTACCTGTCATATGATACAACACGCACGTGCTAACCTTTCGGCCATCCAATCCCCCTACCTGTCATATGATACAACACGCACGTGCTAACCATTCGGCCATCCAACCCCCCTACCTGTCATATGATACAACACGCACGTGCTAACCATTCGGCCATCCAACCCCCCTACCTGTCATATGATACAACACGCACGTGCTAACCTTTCGGCCATCCAACCCCCCTACCTGTCATATGATACAACACGCACGTGCTAACCATTCGGCCATCCAACCCCCCTACCTGTCATATGATACAACACGCACGTGCTAACCTTTCGGCCATCCAATCCCCCTACCTGTCATATGATACAACACGCACATGCTAACCTTTCGGCCATCCAAACCCCCTAGGAGAGGGAGAAATAATTTGATTGTGTTCAGGTGTCCCATATGAAAGGACTGACAAGTAGTAATAATAATCAAAAGACAAGTTGCCAGGCAACGAAACAGACGCCCACAGCAGCTAAGTCCTCCAGGCAGTCATTACGGGTTGTCACATATTTTTTATTTTTGTCAGTAATGAGAACATTTACAACACAAGAAAATGTGGGGTATAAACAGGTTTCTAGAGTTTAATTTTACAAATTATAAATATATTTACCTGGTTTGTCTTCTTCACCTTTATCGTCCTTCTTCATCTCATCATCTTCCCCATCATCATCCTTCTCTCCATCATCATCATCATCCTTCTCTCCATCAGGACCAGTAAATTTCTCACCTGTCTCTAAATCTTCAAAATCTCCATACAACTCGTCTAAAAGTATAAAAAAAAAACTCAATACAACTCGTGTAAAATAATATAAACTCTTGTGAAAACGGTTGATTAATTTCAGATAGATAAATGAAATGAAATGGGATTTAACGTCCTACTGTTCAGCTCCGACTGGGCTAATGAAGACGGGCATACGCCATACGGTGCGCTATGAGGGAATTTTTTCCTGGACAGCGGCACTATGGCCTACTTTTATATCGAATTCCTCCTGTCAAGGGATCTTTTACGTGCATTCCAATGTGTACATGGGACCTCGGTTTTCCGTCCCATCCGAATGACTAGACAAGGATCGAATCAGATAGATAACTTCAATTGTTTACAGTAAAGACTACCCCACGCACCCCACCCCCACCTGTATATACATCTCTGTCTCGCTCTGCATTTGTCTATGTCACTGTAGAGTGGAATGGAATGAAAACTAGGCACAATACAGGAACACCCATAACAATTGGGATTTTGGCTTAATAAGTCCTCCATTTTCATTAGTCCAGTTGGAGCAGAACAGTACGACGTTAAACCCCATTTCATTTCATATTCCTATTCTCACTCAATCTTCATTAGCCCAGTTGGAGCAGAACAGTAGGACGTTAAACCCTATTTCATTTCATTTCATTTAAAAAGTCCTGCAGACTTTTCACGGCCCACGAACAGTTGTTTACCCCTTGATCACCATGGTCCCCTTTCTTTGTAGTATGGTACAGTTGAATTGATGTTTAGCGTTTATGTGTATGGCGAAACTAATTTAAATTTAGTTCTTCACTGTCATCAGAAAAATAAATTTAGCCACCTAAAATTTTTTGTTCTTAAATTACTTTGTTTCTTGTTCTCACACTACTTCAAGATAAAGGAAACTTATTCTAATAGGTCAGGGGCGATCCAGGAATTTTTGCAGGATGGGGGTTGGCCAGGTTCCTGAGATAATTGATCCGTGCCTGTTGGTGTAGCGGCTAAATAAGGGTCTCTCTATAATAAGGTTTTAATAAGTGAACCTCAATATCAATATTATTGTAAACACCTGGCCCTGAGTTCACAAACCATTCTCAGACTTAAGTTAAGAATTTACTCAACTTTCAATCACTGTTTATAGAAATATCTTTGATCCACAAAACTTTGTACATAGTTTCTTATTGATATATTTGATATTTTAAAACAATAAAAGTTTTATAAAGGCCATAATAATCTTTAGTAAATTCTTAAGCCTGAGAATGTTTTGTCAGATCGGGGCTGGTTAATATATATATATATATTTCAATGTTTTGTCAGATCGGGGCTGGTTAATATATATATATATTTCAATGAAAACAAACTGTATTTTATGTATAATTACCGTCTAAATCGAGTCTGGCTTTAGCATCTTTATCTTTTGACCATTGTCCAGTTATAAAACAATCTTTTATACTGGCTGTTACCTGTTTATCAAACAAAAATTAATCTAGTAATTGTAGGTCATTTCGGGACTAACATATGGTTCAATCTTATTTCAATAATTCGCTTGCACATAATGGTCTTTAGCAGTGGGGGAAGAAAACCTGAGGATCGGAAAAAAAAAACCCCAACTCCAAGTTGGACTTCCGACAGATATTATATAAAGTCCAATCGACAGAAACTAGGTTATTTCGGGACTAACATATATGGTTCAATTTTATTTTATGAATCCGCTTGCGTATACATGTAGCGATCTTTTTTAGCATGGGAGGAAACCGGAGGGCCGGGAGAAAACCCTCAAGGTTGGACAGGCGACTCTACTTCTTGTCATGTACAACACAGGAATCGAAACCATCCCACTTGATTCAATGACAGACTTTATGATCCAACGCGCACACCTTAACCATTCAGCCCCCAAACCTCCTGGACAGATATTAAAAGTCTCTAATTGTGTCATTTACCGTTAGTAATTGTACATATCAATAGTCTCTGAATTTCATTTAGTAATTGTACATATCAAAAGTCTCTGAATTTCATTTAGTAATTGTACATATTAAAAGTCTTGGATTTTTATTTAGTAATTGTACATATTAAAAGTCTTGGATTTTTATTTAGTAATTGTACATATTAAAAGTCTCTGAATGTCATGTAGTAAAAGTCTCTGAATTTCATTTAGTAAAAGTCTCTGAATTTCATTTAATAATTGTACATATTAAAATCCTCTGAATTTCATTTAGTAATTTTACCATATTAAAAGAATCTGAATTTCATTTGTGAGAAAAGTTGAATCCCTAAAGGGATTACCAGTGCAAAAATGTATGTACATTGATATGATAAATAGAAAATTTGCAACATATTCGGCATTCTCAGCAGATGACGTAAACAGGAAATGGTCAAAACAAGTGAGCGCCTCCTGTAATCTTTTATATCTTTTGATGGGCCTTTTTTTAATCCGAATCAATCCAAGTTGAGAGATTATCTACTGTTGAGTTCAGGAAATATTTTCTTACCTCCTCCAGTGACCAATCCTGTGGATTTTCAGGGAAATATTTGGAACAGTCTGTTTTATTTATAGAAAATCTGTCGTTTTTAGTCTGATCACTTTTCTGTTTTAAAACTTTGAAAAGTCCGCCAAGTTCATCGCCATCTTTATCTTCCTCATCTGCCACGCCTAATTCTGTAAAATATAATTAAATTATAGATATATTTTCAATTTTATTTCAATAATTCGATCAATTAGTCCTTAAACAAGATGAAATTAATTTAAGAATGCCATTTCAGAAAATCCATTTGATTGCATTGCCAGTTCAATATCCAACACTCGTGATTTTTATTTATTGTAAAATTTCTCTCTTCATGGGCCATATCTATGTTTTTTTAATTAATCCTAATTTTTCGTCACGTTCATGTTCGTTTATAATAATGCAAGAATTATGGGGTGCAACTCTTACTTGACTTGGCCAGAAGATACTGGAAAACCAACCACATAAAAGACCAAACTCCCGGTTACGCATGGGCAATGGACTTTACGTCAAATATTGACCGGACCCTCCGTACATTGAAGAATATGAGGTTCTGGGTGATCGAGACTAGCACTTGGTCTTCCCTTCCAGATTTCAATTACTCCATTAAGTATTGTTTTATGGTTAATACTCACCTTCTCCATAAATAAGTTTTCTATAATTTATTTTTCCTTTTTGTCTGGCTTTAAATGATGCTGCTGCTTTTTCCACTAAATCACTCTTCCACCTTAAACCTAATGATATACGACGAAATGTAATTAACTCTTCCACTTTAAACCTAATGATATACGACGAAATGTAATTAACTCTTCCACTTTAAACCTAATGATATAGGACAGAATATAATGAACTCTTCCACTTTAAACCTAATGATATAGGACAGAATATAATGAACTCTCCCACTCTAAACCTAAAGATATAGGACTGAATATAATAAACTCTTCCACTTTAAACCTAATGATATAGGACAGAATATAATGAACTCTCCCACGTTAAACCCAATGATATAGGACTGAATATAATAAACTCTTCCACTTTAAACCTAATGATATAGGACACAATATAATGAACTCTCCCACGTTAAACCTAATGATATAGGTCAGAATATAATGAACTCTCCCACTCTAAACCTAAAGATAAAATGTAATTAACTCTCCCACATTAAACCTAATGATATAGGACATAATATAATGAACTCTTCCACTTTAAACCTAACGATAAAATGTAATGAACTCTTCCACCTTAAACCTAATGATATAGGACAGAATATAATGAACTCTTCCACCTTAAACCCAATGATATAGGACTGAATATAATAAACTCTTCCACTTTAAACCTAATGATATAGGACATAATATAATAAACTCTTCCACTTTAAACCTAATGATATAGGACATAATATAATGAACTCTTCCACTTTAAACCTAATGATATAGAACATAATATAATGAACTCTCCCACATTAAACCTAATAATATAATATAATGAACTCCCCCACATCAAACCTAATAATATAACATAATGAACTGTTCCACTGTAAATCTAATGATATAACATAATGAACTCTTCCACTGTAAATCTAATGATATAATGAAATCTTCCACTATAAATCTAATTATATAATATAATGAACTCTTCCACTGTAAATCTAATGATATAATGAAATCTTCCACTATAAATCTAATTATATAATATAATGAACTCTTCCACTATAAATCTAATTATATAATATAAGTAGAATAAAGTGCGACAAGTATTTTTAAAGAATCTTGGATCATTGGGATTTTTCTTACCCTGACCAATTTCTTCCTCTTCAATATCATCACCATTATCTTCTTCATTCATATCATCATCATCATCATCATCAGATTGACTAATATCATCATCATCATCATCATCATCAGATTGACTAATATCACTAGAATCCTCCTCATCATTCACAATTTTGTCTTTGGATTTTTTTAATTTAGATTTTTTCGTATTTTTATCAGTGTCACTATCACTATTGTCTTCATTATCACTTTCATCATCTTCATCATCATCATCATCATCATCATCATCATCATCATCATCATCATTCTGTTTCTTTAATTTCATCGCTTTTAATATTAATTCATCCTCTAGGTCATCGTCACTATCGGCAAAAGCAAATTCTTCTTCTTTATTTGATTTAGAAACCTGAAATTAGAAATGAAATAAAACTTTGGTCAAAATAATGCAAAGTTCCAGCACACCACTGACACGGGGAAACCCAGACTGGAAATCCTGAGAGTCATCCTCTGCCAACAGTGGGGTTGAACCAAAAACTTCTTGGGTTAGTGAGCCAGTGTCATGCTCAGTAATCCACTGTGGTCCCGCGATGACATACCTTTGACTTTTTGACTGGTGGTACATCATCTTCACTATCATCTTCCTCGTCTTCGTCCTCATCGTCATCATCATCATCGTCGTCGTCATCTTCACCCTTAAATATATACATCAACATCTATTATACTATCTTCTTTGAGCGGCATTTAGCAATTAACACACCTAATAAACACAAAACCATAATATGGAACACAATTACTATTTTAATTAAAGCGACGTTTTGTTGAGGGTTCTCTCAAATTGTTGAGGGTTCTCTCAGCGTTTTCAAGCAAATGATGATACTATTTCACTACTACTTGAGCCAGTAGGGTAAAGAATAAGACTATGCTTACATGTATATACTCAAGTCCAGTAGGACTAAAACATAACTGTTGCGTTCAGAGTATTTTTTGACTAAATTCAAATGTAAAGCAAACAACACTGTAACTTGGGTATCATTTAATCTTGTGTATCTAGTACTAATTTCTTTCATAATCGTTTAATATCAAATCTTTGTTTAAAAATTCGTAAAATCATTTTAAAACACCAAAAAACATCTAATTTGCACTTGTTTCCAGTTTAAAGCTGACTATTCAATTTTGATAATGAGTGTCCAATTTACAAGGGTTTAATTTCGCGATCACTGTTAAAAAATAAACAACCCAATTGATTATTGATGTATAATGATTAATTTTTGAACAGTGGTCAGGAAATTAAATGCTTGTAAATTGGACACTCATTATCAAAATTGAATGGTCAGTTTTAAACTGAACACAAGTTAAGATGGTATCAAAATATCATACATCTTCATGGCCGCTATCATCGTTAAGCTCGTCGCCATCTTTAAATACTGCACGTCTACGTATTCTACCATCGGATCCTTCAACTCGTTCTTCTAAAGGATAACTGAAATAGATAACAGACAACTGCTGAACAATACACAGAGAGAAATGAGGTTTAACATCCACTCGACACAAACTAGGTCATTTCGGGACTAACACATGGTTCAATTTCATTTAAATAATATGCTTGTGCGTAGGGGTCTTTAGCAGTGGGAGGAACCAAAGGACCCGGGGAAAACCCGCGAGGTTGGACAGGTGACTCTACTTCTTGGCATAGGGAATTTAAAACATTCTGCTTGACCCAATGACAGACCTTAACCCATCTAAATCTGCTACTGCAGGGTTCCTATGCCCAAACCCTACATGAATTTAGCATGAATTTTGAGGAACTATGTGGGGGGTTGGAATGGCCTTTTGGTCCAGTGTGTCACGCTACGACCTCTTGCTGGCCGGTCGTCTCTGGCTTGCGGTTGTGGTTTCAATCCCTGGTGTGAGCGTATGTGCCTTCTCAACCTCATGGGTTTACTCTGGGTACTCCGGTTTCCTCCCTTAGAAAAGACCCCTGCGCGTACACTAAGATAATAAATATGAAAATAAGACAACTTGTCTGCGATATCACCTTCGGTGGAAGCAGACGTTAATCACTAATAACAACAAGGAACTATGTTAAATTAAAACCTCGTCTCCCAAACATTCATCCCATATTTTTAAACCTACCTTATATCTTCTGTATCATCGGCTGTCATTGGTTGAGTTCCAGAAAATACCGACATTTTACTGGTTGTCATCTTTTCATCGACAGGATTCATCATGTCCATGAGATTTGAGACAAGTTCATTGGTTGGTTTACTATCCTGTAATATTACACCATAAATTAGCCAATCGAAATCTACCTGGTTGTTCATTGTACTGTTCATACATGGGGGTAGGGGGTGGGGCTGTTCATACTAGGGTGGGGCTGAAGGGATAGTGGTCATACACATGCACTTTAGAATCAAGTGCATAGTGCAGTGTAGCAGGCTAGGAGGGAAATGAAATGGCATGGAATGTGGTTGGTTTAATGTCTTACTGTTCCGCTCCAACTGGGCTAATGAAGATGGTCATACGCCATACAGTTTGCTATGAGGGAAATTTTACCCATGCAGCGGCACTATTGCCTACTCTTATATCGAATTCCAACTGCCAAGGGATCTTTTATGTGCACGCCAATGTACACTGAGCCACCAGTGCTTCCACTTCCAAAAGGACATAAGAACACCGAGGACGACACATTTTTACACCATGGTGATTCAGCGCGAGTCCAATTAGTTATAATTACATCATCACACTTGGACTCCAGATTTGGTTAAATTAGCATTATATTTGAATGATCACACCCCATCATCCAGACTCACCTCTGTCAGATTATAAGAGTTACATCCCCCTATATTGACATACATTTGGGGTACTCAATTGAACGTTCCGGAATTGAATTCTCTCAATCCCAAAAATAGTTACAATCGAATGAAAAGGGGTATTTCGGACGCATGTGTCAACTGGATAAGTAAATATCTTAACCAACCGTGCAGCCGAAACATATTTGCTGTGTTTAATTACATCGAGATTCTACTCACACCACCTCCGTTGTCGCGACTGACAGAACTGTGACAGGACTGAATTCCGCATCACTGGATTGATATTCTGTCAGTTCTGGACGTTCTGGACTGACAATCGAGCATCACACCCCCTCATCCAGACTCACCTCTGTTAGATTATAAGAGTGACTTCCTCCTACATCAATATACACAGCATCTTTATCGTACACGATACCACCAACACCTGCCATAGGAGCATACACCATTCTCTCTTTCTCGTTTAACGAACGTTTTTTAATCTTATCAGGTGTAGGACAAGGGTCAGGTGTAGCTTGTATATCATTTATATCAAAATCGCCACAACCTGTACAAATAAAATACATGACTTTAAATATTTCTGGGATTTGCAGTAGGTGGAAACCTGAAGAAAACACCCAAGATTAGAAATGCAACCCTACTCTTTGACAAGTACAACCAGAGACACAAACTAGGTCATTTTATGGTTTAATTTTATTTCAATAATTCGCTTGTGCGTAGGGGTTATTAGCAGTGGGAGGAAACCAGAGGACCCGGAGAAAACCCACAAGGTTGGACAGGTGACCCTACTCCTCGACACATACAACCAGGGAATCGAAACCACGCCAGTTGACTCAATGACAGACTTTATGATACAGCGCGCACGTGCTAAATATTCAGACACCCAACCTACCTCGTGAGATGGAAACCATGCGACTTGACTCAATGACAGACCAGTGATATGAATAATTAAATTGATGGGATTTGTAAGACTGGTAATAATGATTTTAGGTGTAACTGGCAGGCACTCCTCTTAACTGGTACTTGACCTTTTGAACTTTGTACAGGTTAAATTGAGCCGGACATACAATCTGATTAAAACACAGATCTTATTTATTACTTGTCTTTACTACACTGGGATCTGGAAGAGTTGTTGTTATATAACCTGCGTTCTGGATGATGTGAGGGATTAACCAGTGAAACGGTCTGTCACGACAAGTTTTTGGTGTAAAGTGCACGGAACTGTGCGTATCCCTACTAGAAACATAATGCTGATTGGTTAATCAAATGTTTGACATCATAGGGTCAAAAGCTGCTTGTATGACTATTGACGGGACCTTCCACTACTTGATACATTAAAACAACAAAAGTTTTATGAAGAGCTATATTTTAGTTAATATAAGGCAAACAATTTTGAGTAAATTCTTAACTTAAGCCTGAGAATGTTTTATGAAACTAGGGTCTGGATTCTTGAGCCAGCACCATAGTCAATGAGCCGCCAATATTCTGTAGAGAGAAGTGACATATCCCTAAAAAATTGACCCTTTTTATTACCTGGTATGTGTATACTCTGTTTGTTTTTCATGTGAGTTCCACGAACGTAACCATAGAGACAGACTTTACGATCACATTTACCATTCTGTCGTATCAATTCACCACCAGTTATATCTTCCATTCTTAAAATATAAATAAATTATTACAGTCACCATCATTTATATCTTACATGAAAAAAATAACTGTTTGTATGCTAATAATGCATTTAAATATGTTACTGATCAAATAAAAAAAAAAACCTATGATCCCTAAACTATGTTTTCTTAATGTTTGTTTCGTTCATAACTTCTGATGGTGTTATTAACAAAATAGTATTTGCAGCTTCGCGCTCGCCATCAATCACTTGACAATTTTCCTCAGCCGCTTATAACAATAAATAAATTTCTATTAAAATCGAATATTTCCCCTGAACAATTAATTAATTATTCATTGTGATTATTGTAAACGACTGCAAAAATTACAGGCGCTGTGGTTGTACCATAGTCCAATTACCCCTAAATACCACTAGGATTTTGGTGTGTGTGTTTTTAGTTTTAGCATGTTTTGAATGTTTTAAATGATATGATTATTTGACATAAAACATTCCGTTAATTTCATTTTATTGAAGCTCCTTTATTTTTTATATGAGTATCGATATCAAGAACTGAATATCGATATTTTCCCGAAGTCGCCGACAATTATCGGCTATATCGATATTTTTCGCCAGCCCTCGTCACCATTATTTATATCTTCCATTCTTAAAGGACAATATTGGTGTCAGTCATATCGTCATCGAAGGAATGATTAGTGAGCAGAAATTTGTCTGTGTATCTGTTATAACTCGTCACTTCAGTCAGTTATATAGAAGGATAACTCGTGTTTTCCCTTTACGTTCGTCACTTCCCTTTCTTGAAATGTTCATAACGCATCCATCGTAGCAATGATCTCTGTGTTAAAATTATATTTGGAACGTGTTTAACCAGTTCTATCATATATGTGATAATGACTGACACCCAATATTTGGAACGTGTTTAACCAGGTCTATCACATATGTGATAATGATTTGACACCAATATTGTCCTTTTAATATAAATAAATTATCACCATCACCACCAGTTATATCTTCCAATAAATAATCTATGATATAAGATTTAAATACATACCTATCGGCTAAAATGTATGGGTGAGTTGTTCTCCAGTGTAGAGGTCGGAACTTCATCACAGAAATAAATCGACATAAATTATGTATCTCCATTCTTTGATACTCTCCATAAACCATTCCAGATAGATAAAATAATTTAGCACCCTGAAAGAAAGGAAATTAGACAGAATTTAAATGAAATAGGGTTTAAGATCCTACTGTTCTGCTCTGACTGGGCTAATGAAGACGGGCATACGCCATACAGTGTGCTATGAGGGAAATTTTGCACGTGTTACCAATTCAGCCACCCAACCCCCCTTTAAATAGTATATTTACAATGGTATGGTTACCCATTACATTCACAGAGTATGCTAACTCACTATATTCATGGTAACTCATTATATTCACAGAGTATGGTAACTTATTACATTCACAGAGAGTGCCAACTCATTACATTCACAGAGTATGGTAACTCATTATATTCATAGTAACTCATTACATTCATGGTAACTCATTACATTCATGGTAATAAATTACATTCACACAGTATGGTAACTCATTATATTCATGGTAACTCATTACATTCATGGTAACTCAGTACATTCATGGTAACTCAAAACATTCAGAGAGTATGGTAACTCGTTACTTTCATATTATTTGGACGTTTGTCAATCCAGGTGGAGATGTCCGACATATACAGATGAAACAGTGATTTAAACTAACCTGATAGATTACTGTCTTGACATATACAGACGAAACATAAACAGTGGTTTAAACTAACCTGATAAATTTCTGTCCAGAATCTGTTTTTAAGCCTCTTTTTCGTTTTTCTCATCTGTTTATTTTCTTGAAATGTATCCAGATGTGTCAAAACACCCATAATTCTCGGAAAACCATGAACTTGACAAATATTTAAAAACTCAAACTGTTCCATCTCAAAACCAAAACTAGCATCAACCATTAATAATACCTGTAACCAGAAATAGATTGCATGAAATATTATCCCTTGTTGATCTAATAAGGGGGCCATGATGGCTAAGTGGGTAAGACGCATGCTTGCTAGCCTGGAGGTTGCGTGTTCGATAACTGCATTGGCCGAGAAAGTTCATCGGGATTTTCTGACGTGGTTTCCCCTTGTCAGTGGTGCAGATCGGAGGGCCGGACAAGGATAGCTGTCTAGTTGTTCAGATAACACGAAAAAAACGAGGTCCCGTGTATACATTGGTATACACGTAAAAGATCCCTTGGCAGTTGGAATTCGATATAAGAGCAGACCATAGTGCCGCTGCCCGGGCAAAATTTCTCTCTATGGCCTACCGTTATATCGAATTCCAAGTGCCAAGGGATCTTTTTTGTGCGCGCGAATGTACACATGGGACCTTGGTTTTTCCATCCCATCCAAACGATTAGACAGCTGTCCTTGTTAGGCACTCCGTCCTGCACTACTGACAAGGGGAAACCACATTGGAAAGGTGGAGGAGAAGACAGGGGATGTTGGGGGAGGGAGGTCCCCAGAATAAGTTAATGAAAGTAACAAGAACAGAGTTTCTTACCAGATCAGCTATTTTACCAACATCTATCATACAGTTAATATCATTATTACATTCTATAAACGTTATTCTTCTCTTCTTTCCTGAAAATAATATAATATATATATATATATCATCAGTCCTAAATCATAACATGAACCAGGAACAGGAACAACATCTAGCAGAAGATTTCTCACTTTTCACATTGCAGGGCTGTCTTCATTAGCATATGGCATGGTTGTCTTCATTAGCATACGGCATGGTTGTCTTCATTAGCATACGGCATGGTTGTCTTCATTAGCACATTGCATGGGTGTCTTCATTAGCATACGGCATGGTTGTCTTCATTAGCACATTGCATGGGTGTCTTCATTAGCATACGGCATGGTTGTCTTCATTAGCACATTGCATGGGTGTCTTCATTAGCATACGGCATGGTTGTCTTCATTAGCACATTGCATGGTTGTCTTCATTAGCACATTGCATGGGTGTCTTCATTAGCATACGGCATGGTTGTCTTCCTTAGCACATTGCATGGGTGTCTTTATTAATATACTACATGGCTGTCTGCCCGACTGAGGCAGAAAACTAGTATGATAAACACCTCACTTCATTTCAGATTAAATAGCTGATGATCTAAAGATAGAATTAGTGTTAAACTGGCATCAAGCCTGCCTGGAAATAGGGCACCTGTCACAGACAATGTCAGACACAAAGTCAGGTTTCGTCAGGCACAAAACCTCTGGTGACACTGCCAGTCATTGTGTTTGTTATAGATTTGTCTTTCTCAGGGTTTTTATTATTGATAGTTTAAAAATAGATTATGCAAGAGTTAAATCTGCCTATTACAAGTCTTTCTTTAGGCCTGAAATGTTATCTAAATTATTAATTAGACATTAATTAACTTATCCAGACCATAATCAACTCTCGATACCATCGGATGCCAGAGATTTTCAACGGATCTAAACACGATTGGTGATTAATGATTTAATCAAAAAATTGCATAATCGAGACTTTTTAGAATTGTAACAATGGTAGCAGTGACAATCAAGACTGCGCTATTTTCCAAACAGCCCTAACATTGCTCAGAATGAAGTAATTTGACTGAAATTTTCAATATTCTCTTCTCATTATCCAGAGAGCGGTCAGCTCTTTATCTAAATCTTACATAATGTCTCTTTAATGTAAAACAAAAACTTCCAGAAAGTTTGTTAGTGTCTGTCATTCTTTTTTACAACTACAATCATTACATGTATATACGGGCCTGACTGACAGTTTTATATACGATTGGTAAGTGTATAATAATTTAAATCTGAATAAAATACAGATCTATATTTCGTTTCGTTCTTTTATAATTTCGATGGCCTCTACTACATGAAGAGCTGACCAGTTGAAGTGGGAGGTCGCGTCAAGAGGTTATACGTGCAGCTTTTGACCCTACAACATCAGACATTTGATTAACCAATCAGTGTTGATGTTTCTAGTGGAATACCCACAGTTCCGTGCATCGCACATCAAGAACTTTCATTGGCTAATCCCTCATATCATTCAGAACGCGGATTATATAACAACTCTTTAGGATCCTATTGTAGTAAAGACAAGTAAAACGAAATTATGAACTATTGAAAAACATGACAAAATAGGATTGGTGTTTTATTCAGATTGTAATAATTTTAGGTCTACCTGCTACTACTGTAATAGGACCATTCACATTCGACAAGTTTTGTCTCGTATAGTTCTTCACCAGACATTTCAACAGAGTTGTCTTCCCTACTTTAGGTGGTCCAACAATAGCTACAACGATTGGTGGAGGCTCAATCGGTGTTCTATCAACCAATGGAATGTGTTGTTTCTTCACATTCAGATCAAGAGTTCTATAAAAATAAAAAAAAAATAAAATGAAATGGGGTTCAGAGAGAGAGAGATGGGATTTCACATCCACTCGACACAAACTAGGTCATTTCTGGACTAACATATGGTTCAATTTTATTTCAATAATTTGCTTGTGCGTAGGGGTCTTTAGCAGGGGGGGGGGGGGGCGAAACCAGAAGACCCGGAGAAGACCCACGAGGTTGGACAGGCGAACCTACTTCTTGTCATGTACTACCGGGGAATCAAAACCACACCAGTAGACTCGATCATAAAATAGTTAATTTCTGGGTTTGTAAGTTCGTAAGTAGAATTTTCATGTGGTCCATCATGTACTGTTTGACGTACATTTCGATTTATAAAGCAATCCCAGCCATATCATATCTTACAACACCTTTAATATCCCCTACCCACCTTCTAACAGTTTTCTCTGTTTTCCTGATCGACTGAATAGCAAAAGCTTTTGGATTTCGTTGTTTTGGTGTCAACTCTTCTTTGTCATCGGTCTCAATCTTTGCTTTTTTCTTTCGAGCTTTTATTCCTGCAGCCCGTGGACGATACGGTTTGTGTTCTTTATCCTCCATTCTGTAAAAGAGTGAAAGCTTGCAGTGCAATATCAGAATATGTTCTATACGAGGGAAATTTGCATTGAAAGCATTAGCATGAGCTATGGCCTACTCTGATTTTGAATTCGACTTTTAAGGTTTGTTTTATGTGTACGTTAATGTGTACATGGATTCTCATTTTTTGTTTCATTTGAACAACTAGACAGTGTGTTGATCATATTATAGATAATATATAACATTTGGATTACTGCCCTATCCCGACTAAGACTTGGGGAAACCTCTCTTTCTAATCAGTTTTGTGTGTTAAAACATATCATATTGTTGTTATTTGGTTTCTGAATTTATTTGTAAATTACACTTCAAGATCGACCGACTTATTCTACAAAATGATAACTATGAACAAGAGAAAAACTTCAACAATAATTTTTACCTTAAAGTTGACAATATTCTTTCTAAAAGTAGTGGTTAAGTCGGTTGTTTACAATTTACATTACAACACGTGGGTGCAGCCATTTTATGTAAGGGGAATAACTCTACAATAATATTATGGTTTCAGACCACAGCTTACTGCAAGTTATTTATCAGATCTTTGACCTGAACAATTAAACTGGGAGGGCGAACAAAATTATTCTAATAGAATAAAATTTGATTAATCATATGATGCTGAAAATAAAATAACGCATTATATTAACAGTACAAAAATATTAGAAATTTACTACAGTTTAAACGCACTGATAGGCCTACTGTTTCGCCTGTGAATGCCGGTCATGTCCTACGGAAGTTGGCAAAAATCCAACCTGGAATATGCCCAATTGGGCATAAAGATATGGTGATTCATATCCAAAATTCAAAAATAATATTGACTGTACTGAGGTTAATAACTATTACTAACCTCGTTTGTCGTTGATAATTTAGGTGATCGACCCCTTGATGGTGTAATACATGTACCTTAATTGATTAACTACTTAATCTGCCTTGATTGACTTCCTTAATCTATTCAAATTTAAGCTCCCTGGAAAAGTCATTTCCGAATCCATATAATTTATAATATATTGAGTGTAATTATAAATTAATAAATAGTGTTTAAATCAAACCCCCTTTCAACAAGAAAACCCGAAGAATGTTCCCGTGTATACGATTTCAGCAGCGTGCTTAGAGTTTTGAGCAGAGAGGACCAGGGGTGGAGGCTACGTCAAGTTGGACGTGAGCTCTGGGCCAATATTTCTGCTCATTTAGGTGAATACATGTATAAAGGATTAGAATTGAGTCAGACCAAAATGGCGGACATGCTTCTCACGTGTTTTGTTCGATGTTATTTTTATGAATGCCGGTGAAAAAATAATGCTGTTCGCGAGCAACGGCGATTGGACCCCACACTGATCCGCAGTGAATATTCGCTAGGCCGTAATACTCTGTGGAACAGATTGATTGGACCTACCTCTACCCCCACTGGACACCGACGGTAGACACGTGCTTGCTATTGCTTATTACATGTATATGTAAATTGAAATAAAGATACACGAGTGGACTTTTTTAGATGTTGTTGTTTTGTTTATTTTTTAAAAAATATTTTTATTCATTAAATCTGAATTTGGATTGGGGAACAGGCTATGCCTATGTGTAACCCCTCTCTCTGAGTTAGATACATCTACACATGATAAATATTTACATACATAAATACATAATTACATAAATATAGAACATATATGATACATCATGGTTAATATAGACTTTGATGATTATACAGAGTGCAGGGCTTGTTGTTATTGAAATAAACTGGGGTTTATTATTGGTATCATGGTATCAGCTGGCTTTCAATTTGGGCCCAAAACTACTTCAGAGTCAGGGGCTATTCGATTGTTGCCATATTAGTTCTAAGATTTGGTAGGCCTACAAACGAAGAAGCCAAAGAGAACATTCCTGCTTGGGTTAATTTGGCGATATTGTGTATTTTAAATTGGTACTACCGGCCTGGTTACTACTGATGAAAATACCAAAGACCCGAATGGCCGAAAATCTCTTTGAGATTCAGAAATACGATAATTCTGGAAGTGATTGTCAAATGATGACATATTTACTTACTTCAAGTGGCTAAGTGGGTAAGACGCTGGCACGCTGCATTGGCCGAGAAAGTTCATCCAGATTTCTCGGCGTGGTTTCCCCTTGTCAGTGATGCAGGACGGATGTCCTGGCAAGGACAGCTGTCTAGTCATTCGGATGAGACGAAAAACCGAGGTCCCATGTATACATTGGCTTGCACGTAAAAGATCCCTTGGCAGTTGGAATGCGATATCAGAGTAGGCCGTAGAGCCGCTGCCCGGGCAAAATCACCTTCATAGCACACTGTATCTTCATTATCCCTGTGGGACCAGAACAGTAGGACGTTAAACCCCATTTCATTTCATTTTTACTTACCTAAACTATACCTTCCTGTTTCTTTTCTGTTGAAGCACCGGCTTAATTTTTTTTTATTTCAGCGTGGTTTACCCTTGTACGAGTGATGCATGCAGAACGGACATTATAGGGCCTGACAAGGAACAGCGCGCAGTCGGTTGGATTGGACGAAAAAAAACCCAAAGTCCTGTGTATAAGTCCGTGGCGTACATGTAAAAGAACTCTTGACAGTTGGACTTCGGAAAATAAAGCTTTGCGGAAATACCGCTATGTAGACAAATATTCCCCACTGCATGACGGATACGGGTGATTATCCCATGGGTGTGCAAAGTTGAATGTTTTTGTGTCACTCGAGTTTTTTTCTGTTTTTTTTCTTTAATTTTAAAATTTAAAAATATTGCATGTAACTCCCCTTTATTTTTACAGAAAATTCGGATAAGAAATTTGGATTTATTTAATAGTTTATAGGCCTACATTTTATAAGATCAGACATGGGAGAGCTGGGGTCCTGTGGGTATGCTTTTCAATGTCACTAACACTACATGTATTTTTCAAATTGTTCTTTACTATATTGATCAAAAAAATAATCATGCCAATCAGGGCGCATAAGCATCTACTAGGACTATTGTCAGATTCGGTATACAACAGAGTCGTTAGGTATGGTTGTAGAATCTTTAAAATTCAAATTTTAAATTGTCACTATCAAAATGCTCAACACCGTAACACTGATAGTTTTCCCGCAATATAACTTATCTACTGAGGCGAGGGTCACTTCACCACGTGCCACCAACCATCTCTGTCAGTCTGGTCTGTCCAGCTTGAAAACAGTTCTGTGAATATTATAGAGTTAAAGGTAAATCCAATCAAAGTTCTGATTTTGCTTGCGTGTATTAATTCATAATCAACACCGTAACGTGGTTTTCTTGCATTTGTAGTCGATTTGATCAGAAACAATGTATATATTTGAATTTAAAATGGTGTACCGATACATACGTTAACGGCGTTTCTCACACATGCGCTCTTGGCTCAAAACATAAACTCCATGGTTCTCAACACCGTAACGCTCAACTCCGTAACATTAAGTTTTGTTACGGTGTTGAGAAACCGATAGGGTGTTGAGGTTTGGTTCACCAACGCTTAAATTAAATCTTATCTTATCAACATAATTATGTAGAATAACATGTAGTTCCTCTAATATTTCACCGGAGTGGATATTCTCCACTCGGATGGCAAACATCCTAGAACGATAAAGATAGTTATTCGCCATTCGTTTTATACAATAAACTTAAAATTCGAGTAGATTGCTTGTGCTTTAATGGTAAATATAGAATCCGAATCCCTTTCTAATGGTCATTTGTTAATTAAAGGGTGATAGTGTAAACAGGCGTCCTCGTTTATAGCGAAAGATAGAGAAACCAACATTTTGTATAGATGGGAGTGGCATAAATCTGAGACGTTTCCTATTCTATGGAAGTGTGTATCTGACTAAACCAGGAACATTGTAAAACGCATTTATTTGTACTGTGTTGATCACAAATAAGATAAACTACAAACCTAATCCAATTTCATTCCTGTAGAGCGAAAAAGGCAGGTTCTATTGAAATGGGCCTGCCTAGCTGTCTGATCCGCCCACCCGGACTACCCATATATTTCATTGTCAACCTCAAATTTTATCTGCAACGGTGCACCCGATTAGATTTTATTACATACTTCGAGAAGGTATTTGTTGAGTAATAAAACCTTCTAGTAGTTTATCGAGGGCTGGCCGTCCTTACCGCACGGTACAAATATTATCACCACTAGAAGCAACAAATTCCAGAACAAGCCAGAACTCATACCAAAATTGCCGCTTTATACAAATGAGTATTTATGGGAATACTAACCCGAACCCTAACCCTTTTAAGAGAAGTAAAAACTAAATTAGACCCAAGTTCAGTCTTTTAAAAAGGGTTAGGGTTCGGGTTAGTTATCCCCAAAATTCTCATTTATATAAGGCGGCCATTTTGGACTCCGGAAGCACCCGAACCTCGATAAACTACTAGAAGGTTTTATTTGTACCGTGCGGTAAGGACGGCCAGTCCTCGATAAACTACTAGAAGTTTTTATTACTCAACAAATACCTTCTCGAAGTATGTAATAAAATCTAATCGGGTGCACCTGTATATTTGATCTCTTACCATATATTTCATTTACTAGCAATCAGGGCCGTAACTAGCTCAGAGCAACGGGGGTGCGGGGCGGTGGGGGCGGTGGGGAGGGGAAATGTTCTCAGGGATGCTGTAAAAATGACGGACAATGTATATCTAGGGGGGGGGGGGCTTCGAGAAAAATTTTCAAAATTGAACTGCCCGGAAACGCTATTTCCTGCACTCTGGGCAGCCTCGTCAATCGTCTTTCGCCCTTTCACACCGAAGAAATCGGTCAATTTTCATGCAAGACCCCTCATTTGAAGAAAATTTGAGCAGAAAACCTCAAAATAGTCATCTTTGAAGATCTGAAAAAGGTAAAAAATCCAGAAATCTGGATAAAATCCGTAAACACTGAGAATCCGATATCAAATATACCGATGATTTTTTTCACATGGGGCGAGATTTTTTCATGGTCGACCAATTTTAGTTACGGGCGTGCTACCAATATATTTCATTTCCAACCGTGTGTTTTATTTACCACCCGTATATTTTATTTACTTCCCATGCATTTTATTTCTAACCGCATGGTTTTTATGCCAACCGTATAATTAATTAGTGTTAAATCAGTATTTTATCAAGATTTTAATGTGCTCCCGATAATATCGATCAAATATTCAACGAGTTTTGATTGTGTCTGGAATAAAATGTTCAATAAATTACGTGTTCTTGAAAGGTTTAATATATCAAAATGGCTATTGAATATATTTTTGTGTAAAGTAGCAAACTGTTATGTAAACCTACTTTTTTTTTTGTAATGTCTTATATAAGGTTATTGTTTATTATATAAAGCTACCAATTTAAAAATATCATTCTGAGCATTATCATTTTGTATAAGGGCATATGTTATCTCAACACCGTCACGGGAATTCAACACCGTCACAGAGTGTAAAATCTCTCATTGCTGCTTTTTCTTAAAGTTAAAGAACCATTTTATAAGCGGACAGAAATATTAATTGATCAGTCTGTGTTACTGAATCAAGAAATCAAATACAAAATCATGTTTTTATTGCGCTACACTTTAATACAATTACAAAATATGGAGCGATTTGAGGTAAGTGGTATAAACTACAAATTACAGCAAAGAAATTATGACGATATAAAAAGAAATATTATTTTTGAAGTGTAATCCCCTTCATCTTTTCAGAAGGGTGAATGTTTTTGCGTTTTCTGGTTAATTTAAAATATTTTTTGACTATACAATACCGTTACGGTGTTGAGATTTTGTAAAACACGTTCCACTAAAAGCTTAATTTTTTGTCTTAAAATTCTAAAGACTGCATGTCAATTGATAACATAGGACGTAGAAGATACTAGTTGTCGAAACAAAGTCAAAAATGTATCGCTTCGAGATGGTTCAATAATTCGGAACTCTGATACCATGAATGCACACTCACGAGATAATTACCCATACCCGTTTTCATTAGCCCAGTCGGGCCAGAACTGTAGGGCTTTTTAACTCTTATTTCATTTCTTTTGGACATCTATTTGAACAACACGAATGGAGGTTTATTATTCGTTCAGGGTTTCCGTTTAACAGGGTGTGAATCTTAACCTGGTTGGTTATAATGGGTTTTTATAACCATCATATGATGATGTTTTAGAATGGGGTTTAACGTCCTACTATTCTAAGGTCCGCATGTGGCCTGTCCAACCTCGTGGGTTTTCTCTAGGTCTTCCGGTCCCCGCCCCCCCCCCCCCCATTTTGTGTCGACTGGAAATTACCCCCCCCCCCTCTCTCGCTCTCCTACTATTCTGCATCTACCGGGCTAATGAATTGAAATGGGGTTATAACGTCCTACCTAGTTCTGTTTTGCCCCGACTACATACACCTTCAATAAGTTTATTTTCAAAATTTAATTTATAGACGTTTGATAATATATATGGTGATATGAGTAATGTGTAGGCTTTAATTCTATTATACTTCATGTTTTACGTATCAATAATACGTATGATTCATAATTTAGTAGGTGTGTCGATTGGCTGTCAATAAGACGAAAAATGGAGTTGTCTCCCTTTAGTTCCACGCACCTGTTACATCAACACAGTCCAATCAGAATAGCGGATTCAAGCCTCTAAGAACTGGAATAATGATGGCTGTCGACCACTACTACTACATTTCGATGGAAGTAAAATAACTGGGCATATTTCGTATAAAGTCATTAATGACATAAAATTTAGGTAAGTAGCTTTTACAATAATACTAAAAGTGGTTGTCAACGAGCAGCCTAACAACAACAATGCACTGGATGAATGAATGGCGACAAAGAAGGCAAACGTATCAGGCTATATAATATAATATAGCATATAGATAGTCTGTCTATATCTGTTGCTATTCCATTTATAACTTGGTGCTTATATGAACTTGACCAAAAGTAGTTCACGGTATACTTCAGCTTTCAGGCGGTGTATAGTCTATCTAGCTAGACCAGCCATAAATCTGGGTATAATTATTGAGGATAAATATCAATATTAATTACCTATAGGGTTAGATTCTGGCATACTGCCTATTTCTCCATAGGAATGTACCAGTAAAATATTCATACTAACTAACATACCCCTATTGACTAGTTCTTGCAAATAGATCACTATTCATATGTCTGTAGCTGAGATATGTATTAGTAATATTACATTAAAAAAACATTTGGGGCAGGATAAAATATATAATGTCTATTTATAACATTTTGTATACCTATGTGGAAACATTAATTATTTAATAACGTATACAATGGTGTAATATATTTTTATGTTATTCAATTCATGTCTAAGCAGAAGAAATGAAATGAAGTTTAATGTCCTACTGTTCTGCTCCGAACTGGGCTAATGAAGACGGGCATGCCATACGGTGTGCTATGAGGGGAATTTTGCCCAGACAGCGGCACTACGGCCTACTCTTATATAGAATTCCAACTGTCAAGGGATCTTTTATGTGCACGCTAATGTGTACATGGGACCTCAGTTATTTGTCCCATCCGAACGACTAGACAGCTGTCCTTGTCAGTTCTCTGTCCTGCATCACTGACAAGGGGGAATCACGCCGGAAAATCTGGATGAACTTTCTCGGCCAATGCAGGGATCGAACACCTGACCTCCAAGCTAGCGAGCCAGTGTCTTACCCACTTAGCCACTGTGACCTCTTGTAAGCAGAAGAGAAACTGGGACAAATGTGTTGATGTCACATTTAATACAATTTAATATTGTACATAGATTACAATTACCGCTATTGTAAATTGGATGATGATTCATTTTGTCATTTTTGTGATTTTTATGCTAATTTGGCTTAAAGATTTCTTTTTTGAAAATTAACAGAGGGCCTGACAAGGACAGCTGTCTAGTTGTTCGGATGGGATGGAAAACTAAGGTCCTGTGTACACATTGGCGTGCACGTAAAAGATCCCTTGACAGTTGGAATTCGATATAAGAGTAGGTTGGGTGCCGCTGTCGGGACAATATTTCCCTCATAGCACACTGTATGGCGTATGCCCGTCTACATTAGCCTAGTTTGAAGGAAAATTAACACATGGTTAACCAAACTTAATGTAATTTTATTTGATAAGACTGTGTGCAAAATCATAATGTCTGTCATTGATTCAAGTGGCGTGGTTTCGATTTCCAGCAAGAAATAGGTTTTCTCTGGGCCCTCCAGTTTCCTCACACTGCCAGAAACCCCTACGGTGAAGCGAATTAGGCCTATTGACATAAAATTGAGCCATATTTTTAGTTCCGAATTGACCTCTCTCTCTCTCTCTCTCTCTCTCTCACACACACGTCATAAGATTGTTTGAACAAGTGAAGTTTTAATTGTGATATGGAGTCACGGTGGCTAGTTGGGTAAGGCGCTGGCTCGCTAGCCTGGAGGCGGGTGTTTGATCCCTGCATTGGCCGAGAAAGTTCATCCCGATTATCCGACGTGGTTTCCCCTTGTCAGTGATGCAGGACGGAGGGCCTGAGGGTCTGACAAGGACAGCTGTCTAGTCCTTTGGATGAGACGAAAAACCGAGGTCCGGTGTAAACATTGGAACGCACGTAAAAGATCCCCTTGTCAGTGGTGCAAGACGGAGGGCCTGACAAGGACAGTTATCTAGTTGTTCGGATGAGACGAAAAACCGAGGTCCTGTTTATACATTGGCATGCATGTAAAAGATCCCGTTGGCAGTTGGAATTCGATATAAGAGTAGGCGATAGTGCCGCTGCCCGGGCAAAATTTCCCTCATAGCACACTGTATGGCGTATGCCCGTCTTCATTAGCCCAGTATAGGAGCAGAACAGTAGGACGTTAAACCCCATTTCATTTTATTTCATTTAATTGTGATATGAATGAAACTAGAGAAAGTTTTGTTGTCACGAATATGCAGATAAGATGAAAAATTGTTTTATTTAGTGTGCATTACTTGAGGGTAAAATTGAATGTTGATTGACATATGTAGGAATATAAAGATGTCTAGGTGTCAATCATATTTTTATATACATATCTGAGTGGTACATGTACATGCAGACGTACATGTGAATAAAATCTGCTATGGAGAATGTCAGTGTTGCATTATATCATACTTTTAAACATATTCTCTTGTCCCAGGGTGGAAGATGCTGTGTCGTTGACCTTGAGGTCACTGACCTTGAGGTCCTGTGTTCGACTCCAGTGTTGGTCACAAAATTTGCTCAACGTTTTCCCTTTTCAGTTTGGTGCTGGACTTGGATCTCTGTTATTATGAAGTGATTTCAAAATTTATACGTTCAACTGTTTAGGTTTGCTGTGGCAATCTGCAAACACACCAATCTGATTAAAATATAGATTTATATTTTGTTCCGTTTTTTTATACTTTAGATCTGAAATATTATATAAACTATTAATTAGACATTTATTAACTTAATATCCTTAAATGACATTTAGAAGTAGAGGTATAATATTCATAATAACACAACTTTATGGATTTACTACCTCTTGGTTTATTTACATGCAACGTTTCAATACTCTTACAGGTATCTTTATCCAGCAATTGATTGATAAAGATACCTGTAAGAGTATTGAAACGTTGCATGTAAATAAACCAAGAAGTAGTAAATCCATAAAGTTGTGTTATTATGAATTTATTAACTTATCCAGACCATAATCAACTCTCGATGTCATCAGATTTTTGCTGGATTTGAATCCTATCTGCTGCTTAACTCTCATTGATGAATAAATCCAAAAATGGATAGCCGAGACTATGTTTTTATCGTACCAACTTTAGTAATGATGATTGAGGCTAGGCCTAAAATTCAATCTCTAATATCTTTGTTCATGGTGGAGCAATTTGATAGAAATTTTCAGCAAATTCCCTTTACATTATCTAGTTTTTAACTATTATAGTCAGAACTGCCAGCTCTTTATCTACTCTCCCATAATGTATCTTTAACAGTGCGATTGAATATAAATATCTTTAATGTGTATAATTGTATAAGCCCACTGGTCTAAATGATAAACTACAGCTACCAATATTTGGTATGTGGGGTATTTGTTAAGTGTGGAATTTTGTGAATGATACATATATTAAGCATACTATAATGTCTGTACTAAAACTATTATCACATAACCAACTAATTTAATTCAGTCATTGTGTGACATTTCTAGTGATATATTATCAGTGAGGGATATGCTGGAGGTCTTGAGTTGGCTCCCGGTGTTGGCCGAGACACAAACTAAGTCATTTCAGGACTAACATACGGTTCAAATTTCAATAATCTGCTTGCGCTAGGGGTCTTTAGTAGTGGAAGGTAAATGGAGGACCCGAGGAAAACCCACAAGGTTGGACAGGCAACCCTACTCCTTGTCATGTATAACTTGGGAATTGAAACCACGCCAGTTGACTCAGGGATAGACCTTATAATACAGCGCACTCACGCTAACCATCTATATATAGCCTGTATAGATAAATAAAGTGTAATAAGTAATATGTACTTATTGTACTCAGGTCACGAAAACAATAAAAATATCACAGACAGGGTTAAATACGGACTGGTAAATATTAAATATACACAGTAGATAGAGGAAAATCTGAGGTATATTATTATTTATTCACAGGTATATTAGGCCACTTTAATTAATTTTTTCTTTCCCGTGACCCAACTGCATGTCTGTTTTCATCTGTAATACATACATATAAAAATATCACAGACAGGGTTAAATACTGACTGGTAAATATTAAATATACAGATAGAGGAAAAATCTGAGGTAAATTATTCACAGGTATATTAGGCCACTGTTAATTAAATTTTTCTTTCCCGTGACCCAACTGCATGGCTGTTTTCATCTGTAATAATGTAATTATCAATCTGATTAATTGACAGATCCTATTACAGATTGTAATAATTATACACTTCTACGATTATATGTTGTAATAATTATACACTTCTACGAGTATATGTTGTAATTGCTTTCTAAGAATTGATTTGTTAAAATCCATTATTTACATATGATAGACATGACACTGTAGGTGACAAGTAACTAGGCAAGTACTGTATCAGTATGTGAAAAAATCCAATACAGATACATTATGGGAGATTAGATAAAGAGCTGGCAGTTCTCACTATAATAGTTAAAACTAGATAATGTAAAGGGAATATGCTGAAAATTTCAGTAAAATTGCTCCGCTTCACTCTAAGCCAAGAAAACCTTATTTTGAAATCACTGTAGCCTTGACCATTGTTACCAAAGTCACGAAAATTAACCAAGTCTTGATTACCCGGTATCAAAGGGTCGTTGAACTGCAGATCGGATACAAATTCAATGAAAATCGGACTCATAAGAGGGCATCGACAGTTGAACCATATCTTAGTCCTGAAATGACCTAGTTTGTGCTGGGTAGAGGTTGAACTCATCTCTCTCTCTCTCTCTCTCTCTCATATAAACGTGTGAGAAACAAACAATTAATCACCCATGGCCTTACAACCTTAATATAGATATGTACAGTTCCAATAAGTCTATGTCAACATTCTTGCCAACTGTAGGAGGAGTATATTAATAAAATATATGAATTTATTCACTTAACAAATGTAGAGTGTACAATGTACATAGTTGACTGATCGGTAGTTGAGAGGTTTTAATACATATATCGTGACAGTTGGATTTGTAACATAACACAACACAGTTCTATGGATAAAAATCACTATATTATATACACACAACATTTCGACAAGATTTCACTGGTCGTTATCAGGCATACAAATTCAAATGAGGAAAAAATGAGTGTGAAATAGTTTTATTTAACGTGCGCTTCCACCGAGGTGATATCGCAGACAAAAGAGGAAAAAAAATTGTGACAGTGTTATATATAGGTACATTGAACAATAATAAGAGAAACCATAAGTTAAACATACAGTATGCAAGAGCTAAATCTGTCTATTGCAGGTCTTTCTTTAGGCCTGAAATGTTATCTAAATTATTAATTAGACATTAATTAACCTATCCAGACCATAATCAACCCTAGATGGCATCGCTAGCCTGCGATCTTTAGTGGATTATGAGCCGATTTACTGCATAACTTTCCTTCACGATTTCACGATTAAATGGATAATCGAGACTACGGTATGCTGTTTATAGTACTGACGAATGAAATTTTCAGCAAATTGCCTTTACATTATCTAGTTTTTAACTATTATAGTGAGAACTGCCAACTCGTTATCGTTATCTAATCTCCCATAATGTATCTTTAACAATCATGAAACCCTAGCTTCAATTTACCAGAGTAAGTATATTAAGATTTAATTATGATAGCACATAGTATAGTAACAACAGCGGATAAAGGATTAAAGAGGGATTAATGAAAACATAGATGATGGGTGAAACCTACTAGGTGAAGTCATAAGATGGGTGAAACCTACTAGGTGAAACCATAAGATATGTCCCTGGACATCAAAGAGCTTTAATGAATGGTGAAAAAGCACCTTAATTAAAAAGAAGAGGAGTATCAGTACACCAACAGTCGAATTCTGTATCAGTATTTACAAGGATACTGTATGATGAAATGAGAATATCACCACATTCAACATACTCATTACTCTGCAGATAATTTAAACAAACCAGTGCCACCTATAAATGGTTGTTGAAATCTTTTGATGGATTTGTTTTTAATCTTATTAATGTCAAGCCAGGAGATTTCTACAGTTTTTTTTTTGTTAACTAAATGTTAAACATACATTATACAAGAGCTACATCTGCCTATTTCAGATCTTTCTTGAGGCCTGTTATCTAAATTATTAATTAGACATTAATTAATAAAAAAAGATCATAATCAACTCTTGATGGCATCGCTAGCCTGCAGTGTTTATTGGATTAGATTCCGATTTGCTGTTTGACTTCCATTCATGATTTAATAATGAAATGGATAATCGAGACTATGTTTTTTATCGTACCGACTTTATTAATGATGATCGAGGCTATGTCGAAAATTCAATCGCTAAAACCTTGGTTGGTTCAGAGTGTATCAATTTGACTGATTTGATCTAACATGTAGATATATATACCTTACTTAAGAAGAGATTATTGAAGCACCTGTTAAAACACAATAACATATAGTCACATATTGTATGATATATGACTCACAATACATGTATATACTGATTGACTTGAGATCAAATCACATCAGATCACATTTCACCACAGATTAACACAAATCTTTTAATCAGCTTAATTATTTAGTAGTTGTCAGCGATTTTATCCTGTATTGTTCACCATTATGTTCTTTTTTGTCTAGTCGTTTGGATATGACGAAAAATTGAGGTCCCCGTGTATACATTGGCGTGCACGTAAAAGATCCCTTGGCAGTTGGAATTCGATATAAGAGTAGGCTGTAGTGCCGCTTCCCAGGCAAAATTTCCATTATAGCACACTGTATGGTGTATGCCCATCTTCATTAGCCCAGTATAGGAGCAGAACAGTAGAACGTTAAATCCTATTTCATTTCAGTTTAATCCGTAAAAAAATGTAATTTTAAAAGTGTATAAAATACCATGTAGAGATCATACAATGTAATCATTTACCTGGAATTAAGGTAGAGATTTACCTTTCAAACAATATCAAGATTGGTCACATCATCTCTGTTACATCTTTCTTATAAATCTTTTGTGGGGTGGATGGCCGAATGGTTAGCACGTGCACGTTGTATCATAAGGTCTGACATTGAGTCAACTGGCATGGTTTCGATTCCCCAGTTGTAAGTGACAAGGAGTAGGGTCGCCTGTCCAACCTCATGGGTTTTCTTTGGGTCCTCTCTGCAAATCAGGATAATTTATTGGCAGTTTCTGATCATACTAATTCTTGTATATGCATATTGATTTAATAGTACTAAATGTTCATAACATTTTGATAGTTTCTTTAACATAAAGTCATTTACCTAACAATAATCTAATTCTATGCAGTACTATAAGGTTATAAGCAGTACTGAATGTGGGATAAATAACTGAAGTTATAGTGATAAAATGAAAGTAGACTACACCCTACATTGTTGTACACAGGAGACAAAATGGCAAAGTATTCTCAGTTTGTTTATTGAGTGGTGGGCAATTGTTATATTTGAACTTTAGGGGTGGAAATTCTCACAAATAATTGTTTCCGTTTTTATAGGATTTACTGTGGTATTAGTAAAGTGTCAATTTGGAACAGATCTTTCTTTTAAACATACACATGTACTACATAGTAAAGGACTTAGGATTACTCAAATCACCTGCTCTCATCAGAATATGAAAGATATTTAATTTCACTTTGGAACTATTCATTTTTGTTAATATTACATAACACTGTAACCTGGGTATCATTTAATCTTGTGTATTTAGCACTAATTTCTTTCACGTTCATTTAATATCAAATCTTTGTTTAAAAAAATGCATAAAAATAGTTTAAATCACCCAAAAGTCATCTAATTTGTGGCCAGTTTAAAGCTGACTGATTAATCTTGATAATGTGTGTCTAATTTACATGTCTTGTTAATTTCTCCATCACTGTTAAAAATGATTTATTTTTGAACAGTTGTCAGGAAATTAAACAATTGTAAATTGGACACTCATTATCAAAATGAATCAGTCAGCTTTAAACAGGACACAAGTACAAATTAGATGATTTTTTTGTGATTTTAAATGATTTTTATGAATTTTTAAACAAGGATTTGAAATTAAACGAATGTGAAAGAAATTAGTGCTAGATACACAAGATTAAATGATACCCAGGTTACAGTGTAAATAACTGGAGATATTCTTCTTCATACACGATCAATTCATTTTAATGGAGATTTATCAACGTGCATGTCAGCGACCGTACAATCTCTAACTGCATAAATTTATCTAGTATTTGATGTTATTTTGACAGGTATGCATTTTAATATCGTTAACAAGGATGTTTGTGATGTGATAAATGTCAATGAATCCTATATTTATATGTATTTTGCGTATAAATAGGTCGGTTGTTTACATTCTGTTTTATTTTTATCAATTGTTCTACAGTGTAAAGTATTTGAATTGATTGTTCTGAGAGAGGAATATTGGTGTTCTAATCTCGAGCGTGGTTCTCATGGCATCGGTCAAACCACCTGTCATTATTTTCTTACCAGAACATATCTCATAAACTCGTCAAGGTATGAAATTCATACCTGTTACAGGTAGAAGTTGAGTCTTTTGCTAAATTTCTTAGATGTAAAAATTTGATGTGTTTCCATGAACAAAAAAATAAAAAGATATCGGGTTTAATGACCACTCGACACGAACCAGGTCATTTCGGGACTAACATATGGTTTTTAATTTCATTTCAATAATTCACTTGCACATAGGGATCTTTAGCAGTGGTGGTAAACTGGAGGGCCCAGAGAAAACCCACAAGGTTGGACAGGCAACCCTACTCCTTGTCACGTACAAGCAGGAAATCAAAACCACGCCACTTGACTCAATGACGCGTTAACCATTCGGCCATCCAACTCCCCATGTTTCCATGTTCAAATTTGACTTAGTGTTTGGCGTACATGTACATCAAGCAAATGGTGTTGTTGTTATTTAGAAAATCAGACAGCTAAGAATTGTTTTTGATGACTGATTTTGATGCATGAAAATGAAATGGGGTTTAACATCCTTCTGTTCTGCTCCGACTGTGATTTTAATGCACATATGCACACATGTATTTGAATATTGGGGGTTGGGCAGCCGTATGGTTTAACAGGTGCCTGTTGGATCAAAAAGTCCTTCATGGAGTCATGTGGCGTGGTTTTGATTCCGTTTGCACCTTGTCGAAACCTTGTGGGTTTTCTCTCAGTCCTCCGGTTCCTCTCAGTGCTAAAGGCACAAGTGAATTATCGAAATATAATTGAATCATATTTGGTTCCCAAATGACCTAGTTTGTGTTAAATGGATGCTCTCTCTCTCTCTCTCTCTCTCTCTCTCTCTCCCCCTCTGTATTTGATTATATTTATTACTTTCTTTATATAGCCTTTGTTTCTTTATTACAGCTACAGAACTTAAAGAGAAATGTCGAGCTCGGAAATACCTGTATCCCTTGCAGAAGCTTTAGAGATTCGGGGTTCCGCCCTGACAGAAAATGAGGCATGGGGAGTCCTCAGTCAGACGGCTGAATCTGTTCAAGATTTATTTATCAAGGGTAAGTCTAATCTTGTTAATAATTTAAATTAATTATTGACGATGCCTTCCAAGATTTAAACTGTGTTATTTGCTGATATATTGGACAAAAAACATATTCAAACAAGGCTCTACATGGCAACTAAAACACTCGCCATGGCGACCAAATATATTTTCTGGCTAGTTAAAATTTTCACTTGAGTCGCCAGCTGGCGACTGTAAGTTTTTTTTCTCGTTTTAAAATAATTACAAAGTTTTTTTTTACAAAATTGAATTTGTTTATTCAGTGCTTCGTAAAACCGGAACTTACTAGGGGAAATAACTCCAATTTAACGACAATATTTACGACATTCATATATTTTCTTACCATGTGCCGAAAATCGTTCTAACTTCTAACTTACGGCAATGTATACAAAATGTCCGACTACGCATGTTGTTGACCCATTTTTCTAACCCATACATTAAAGTTATTCCCTATATAATGATAAAATGTTTAGCATTATGATAAAGATTAAAAAAAACAACGCGTAATATCTAGTAGTGATTTACGTTACAGACTACAGTTAATAGCATTGTAATTTCTGGCTACTAAAATTTTGGTGCTGGCTAGTAAATTTTTAGCATTTAGTAGCCAGTGAAGACTAAATTTTCCATGCCCATATTGACCCTTGTATTCAAACTAATTTATCTATCATATCTCTCTCAAAATGTATAAAATTGTGAAAGTTGAAATGAAGATTGTTGAATATTTTATGTGATCTTATAAACTAGTTGGAAGAACAGCCAGTAATTGTTATACAAAGTTCTGACCTTTTCAATAAAATAATTTTTAATGTCATGTCTATTTTATAACCAATTTTCATCTGGTTGACGAGTTTAAACTGAAAGATTTTATATATAGAAATAACTATAAACTTGTGAAGAGAATAAGTTTATATCCGTGTGGGTGTATGTAGGCGTATAAGTGGACTCATCTTCATTAGTCCAGTTAGTACAGAACAGTAGGATGTTGAACCCCATTTCATTTCATTTAAACATACATTATGCAAGAGCTAAATCTGTCTATTGCAGGTCTTCCTTTAGGCCTGAAATGTTTTCTAAAGTATTAATTAGACATTTATTAACATATCCAGGCCATAATGAACTCTAGATGGCAGCGCTAGCCTGCAATCTTTAGTGGATTGTAATTTGATTTACTGCTTAACTTTCTTTCTCGATTTAACTTTTAAATGGATAATCGAGACTATGCTGTTTATTGTACTGACTTTAGTAATGATGACTGAGGCTAGGGGGAAATTTCAGTCGCTTAGTTCTCGGTTCATAGTGGATCAATTTGAATGAAATTTTCAGCAAATTACCTTTACATAATCTAGTTTTTAACTTTTATAGTGAGAACTGCCAACTCGTTACCGAATCTCCCATAATGTATCTTTAATTCTAGTAGCCAGTAAAAATTTACTTTACTTTCTATTGATATTATACCAGCATATTTAATGTCTTATGGTCAATGAATCGCCTGTTACTAGCCAATATAATATATACATGTAATATTGTAAATCTGTATGACAATCTACTAGTTGATATATAGTAAAACTGGCAGAAAGTCTTAACCAAATCTCAAATAGGCAAATGAAATGAAATGAGGTTTAACGTCCTACTGTTCTGCTCCTAAACTGGGCTAATGAAGACGGGCATACACCATACAGTGTGCTATGAGGGAAATTTTGCCTGGGCAGCGGCACTATGGCCTACTCTTATATCGAAGTCCAACTGCCAACGGGATCTTTTACATGCATGCCAATGTATAAACAGGACCTCGGTTTTTCGTCTCATCCGAACGACTAGATAACTGTCCTTGTCAGGCCCTCCGTCTTGCACCACTGACAAGGGGAAACCACGTCGGAAAATCCTGATGAACTTTTTCGGCCAATTCAAGAATCGAACATGTGATCTCCAGGATAGCGAGCCAGCATCTTACCCACTTAGCCACCGTGGCTCCCCAGCACTTAACAACAGGAGACGTAGAGAAGAGATTTCGGGACTAACATATGATGCAATACTACTTCAAGTATTCGCAGTGGTTTCAATCCCCGGTGTGAGTGTATGCTGTCTAGTCATTTGGATGGTACGAAAAACCGAGGTCCCGTGTACATATTGGCGTGCACATAAAAGATCCCTTGGCAGTTGGAATTCAATATAAGAGTAGGCCGTAGTGTCGCTGCCCGGGCAAAATTTCCTTCATAGCACACTGTATGGCGTATGCCCGTCTTCATTAGCCCAGTTCGGGAGCAGAACAGTGGGATGTTAAACCCCATTTCATTTCATTTCTCCAGTTTCCTCCCACAGGAAACGCGTGCACTAAGATAATGGAAAAAATAAGACAACTTGTCTGCGATATCACCTTCGGTGGAAGCAGACGTTAAACACAAAGAACAGCAACATTTGGCCATTTCTGCCTTCATCAGAAAATTAGGACATTAAACCCCATTTATTTCAACCTTTAATATGTATTTTTCAGGTAAAGCCTTCACATCTGAAGGTTTAAATTTCGTGCTAACACCTGATACCTTGCTGTTAAACAGTAACGGTCATGTTAGTTTTATACAAGCAGCTCGACTGGTTGATAGTAGCTACATAGCACCAGAATATCAGGACGGTAATTTACCATCCTCGGATGGTGCAGTTGATAAGGTTTGTTCGTAATAAATACTTTAGATCATAAGGTCTGTCATTGAGTTAGTTGATCCCATGCATGTACGTGCCAATGAGTAGGGATGCTTGCACTGTAACCCAGGTATCGTTTATTCTTGTGTATCTAGCACTAATTTCTTTCACATTCGTTTAATATCAAATCTTTGTTTAAAAATTTGTAAAAACTGTTTAAAATCACCATAAATCGTTTAATTTGTACTTCTGTCCAGTTTAAAGCTGACCATTCAATTTTGATAATGAGTGTCCAATTTACAAGTGTTTAATTTCTCAATCATTGTTAAAAAATAAAACAGGAAATTAAATACTTGTAAATTGGACACTCATTATCAAAATTAATCAGTCAGCTTTAAACTGGACACATGTACAAATTAAACGATTTATGGTGATTTTAAACAGTTTTTACAAATTTTTAAACAAAGATTTGATATTAAACGTATGTGAAAGAAATTAGTGCTAGATACACAAGATTAAACGATACCTGGGTTAGGGTGTTGCCTGCCTAACCTTGTGGGTTTTCTCTGGGTTCTCTGTGTATCTCACTGCTAAAGATCTCTGCACCCAAGCTTGTACTTGACAATGAGTAGGGTTAGAGTGTTGCCTAACCTTGTGGGTTTTCTCTGGGTTCTCTGTGTATCTCACTGCTAAAGATCTCTGCACCCAAGCTTGTACTTGACAATGAGTAGGGTTGCCTGCCTAACCTTGTGGGTTTTCTCTGGGTTCCCTGTGTATCTCACTGCTAAAGATCTCTGCACCCAAGCTTGTACTTGACAATGAATAGGGTTGCCTGCCTAACCTTGTGGGTTTTCTCTGGGTTCTCTGTGTATCTCACTGCTAAAGATCTTTGCACCCAAGCTTGTACTTGACAATGAGTAGGGTTGCCTGCCTAACCTTGTGGATTTTCTCCGGGTTCTCTTTGACTTTCACTGCTAAAGATCTCAGCTCGCAAGCTTGTTTGTGCCTGTCAAACCTTGTGGGTTTTCTCTGGGTTCTTTGTGTCTCCCATTACTAAAGATCTCTGCAGGCAAGCGTGGATGGCCGAATGGTTAGGATGTGCGCGTTGTATCATAAGGCCTGTCATTGAGCCAACTGGCATGGTTTCGATTCCCCGATTGTACGTGACAAGGAGTAGGGTCGTCTGTCCAACTAGTGGGTTTTCTCCAGGTCCTCCAGTTTCCTCCCACTGCTAAAGACCCCTTCCTACTTGCAATCGAATTATTGAAATAAAATTGAACCATATGTTAGTCCCAAAATGACCTAGTTTGTGTTGAGTGGATGTTAAACCCCATTTCTCTCTCTCTCTCTCAAAAGTCTATTTTCAAATAAAATGAGAGAATGATTACGGAGAATAATCTGTATTACAATATATGTATATTTTATAATTTCAGATGTATGTGTATTCTCTGGGTAGAACACTACATAATTCAACTCAATATAAACTCACACAAACAAAGGTAAGCATATTTATTACTGTACAACTTGGCCTTCCAATGTTTGTCAAATGAAGGACTTAAATTTTTCATATGACCTCATAATTCCAGGATGGCTTTTTTATTCTCAATACATCATATCTTTGTAAACGGAATAGAATGATTTTGTGTTTATTTCTGTTAGAATATCGATGTTGACAATGTTATATTTACAAGAGATTCATAATCTGTCAAAATCTGATCAGTGGCTTTAATATAGCCCTTTTGTAGTCTGTATATCAAATAATCTTGTGTATTTAGCACTGATTTCTTTCACATTTGTTCTATGTCAAATCTTTGTTTAAACATACATTATGCAAGAGATAAATCTGCCTATTGCAAGTCTTTATTTAGGCTTCTGTAGACGCACTGATGACTTGGATACGGTTTGGATTTAAACAGCCTCGTACATTTAAAATTAAATCAGTAAGTGGCGGACCAAGCTAACGTTTACTGTTACTCGCTGATGTCACAACCGGAAACTGGTAATGAAAAGCCTGCCAAGCGAGACTACCATAACCATTGAACATGTTATTTGATAATCGAGAATATGTGCTTGGAGTTATCGTTTGCCAATCAAAAGATCGCCAATTCTTAAAGACGGTGAAGACAGAATTGATGCCTATTTCTAGTCCAAACTTCTAACAGTGACAATTCCGTTCAGAACAAATTAATTTGACTGAAATTTTCAACGTTTTCTTTTTTTATCATCTATTTTTGAATTATTATAGCAAGAATGGCCAACTCTTTATTAAACTCTTAACTAATGTATCTTTAAAAATTCATAAAAATCATTTAACATCACTCAAAATCATCTAATTTTGTACTTTCATTTATTCATATGTATCATTTCAGGTGCCCAAATTGTCTCATAATTTAGAGAGTTTATTTGGGGCCATGTGTGAGACGGACCCCAATCATAGATTGGCATTGGTCCATGTGTTAGAGGTAAGGATTATTTATTTATTCACTCATTCATTCCTTGTTTGGTGGACTATTCTTGGCAAAATTTACCTCATAGCACACTGTATATTGTTTTATTGCTCTTTAAAAAGCGCTTGGATTGATTTGGTGCTCAAGAAATGCACATTTATTATATTATTATTATTATGGTGTATGTCTGACTTCATTAGTCCAGTTGGTGCACAACATAAGGATATTAAACCCCATTTCATTTCATGTTAAGTGTGGAATGGATGTCAGACTCATCTTTGTGTTCTACTTGGTCAGATAGACTGGGTTAGAACGTCTCGTCACACCAGAAAGGAAGGTTAGTTCCAGCCATTTGGTACCTAAAACAAGAATTTGAACCTGGATCAAACAGAACAGTAGGATGTTAAACCCCATTTCATTTTTTATCACCATGATATATTATGTATGTTTACTATTGCAGGCCTGCACAATACATGCCCAGAAGAAATCAAGCAGGACGTCCTCCTCTAACTATGTAATAAGACTACATCAAATGGTGCTTGGTGGAAGTCTTAATGTACGTGCATGTAATTTTATTCTTTCCTTTATATATGTGGTCGTCAGGCCATCGGGGCATAAGCATTCTTCGCTCGTCTGTGGTTGCGTCTACGAGTCTGACACAAAGATTGTGTCTAGTTGTTCAGATGGGATGTAAAACGGAGATCGATCTGTGTATATATTAATGTGCATGTAAAAGATTGATGTGGGTGGGGTGGATGGCGGAATATTTAGCGCGTCCGCATTGTATCATAAAGTCTGTCATTAGATCAGTTGTATGTGACAAGGAGTGGGGTCACCTGTCCAACCTCGTGTGTTTTCTCCAGGTCGTCCAGTTTCCTCTCACTGCTAAAGACCCATACATGCAAGCAAATTATTGAAATAAAATTAAACCATATGTTAGTCCCAAAATGACCTAGTTTAGGTTGAGTGGATGTTAAACCACAAGAACCCTTTGCGGTTGAAATTCAACGAATACATGTAGAAGGTGGAAATTCCCATGTTCAGGCAAATTCTCCTCCCCTTGCATTATGCATGTAACAATAGAAACAACTTTCACCATACTGGCTAAGTGAGTAAGACGCTGGCTCGCTAGCCTGGAGGTCACAAGTTTCGATCGCGGTGTTGGACGAGAAAGTTCATCAGGATTATCCAGCGTTATTTCCCCCTTGTCAGTTGTGCAGGATGGAGGGCCTGACAAGGACAGCTGTCTAGTCATTCAGATGTGATGAAAAACCGAGGTCCCGTGTACACATTAAAGATCCCTTGGCAGTTGGAATTCGATGTGAGAGTAGGCCGTATTGCAGCTATCCGGGCAAAATTTCCCTCATACCATACTGTATGGCGCATGCCTGTCTTCATTAGCCCAGTCAGAGCAGAAAAATAGGATGCTAAATTTCATTTCCTTTCCCCATATGTCAATCTCAATTGTTTCTCTATATGTTTGTATTGTCTATACTTCTGCATGTTTGTTCTGTCTGTATCTTGTTGTGCAGTTGTCCTGTATGTTTGTATTTTCTATATTTTAGTATGTTTGTTCTGTCTGTATCTTACTGTGCAGTTGTCCTGTATGTTTGTATTGTCTATATTTTAGTATGTTTGTTCTGTCTGTATCTTGTTGTACAGTTGTCCTGTATGTTTGTATTGTCTATATTTTAGTATGTTTGTTCTGTCTGTATCTTGTTGTACAGTTGTCCTGTATGTTTGTATTGTCTATATTTTAGTATGTTTGTTCTGTCTGTATCTTGTTGTACAGTTGTCCTGTATGTTTGTATTTTCTATATTTTAGTATGTTTGCTCTGTCTGTATCTTACTGTGCAGTTGTCCTGTATGTTTGTATTGTCTATATATTTATATTTCAGTATGTAAATATGTTTGATAGTAGTTATGGTAGTGATATAAGTAGTCTAACAACCTCCACACAAACATCGCGTAGACGAAGGTCACGTGATGATCGTAGACGGAAAACATCTCACAGATCACGTTCACGATCCAGGTCACGATCAGGATCAGGTTCCAGAAACAACGGAGGTGAGACAAGTTTCAATAATTTATGTAACTGACTTTTTGGCCACAAGGTTTTTTTTTTAGGGTTTTCAGTAAAGTCAATTGGGTGTCATCATGAATCTGATTCCTGATCAATCTTATTTAAACACAGATCCTATTTCGTTTCATTTTTTATAGTTCAAAATTTCGTTTTACTTGTCTTTACTACACTAGGATCTGGAGGAATTGTTATATAATCCGCGTTCTGAATGATGTGAGGGATTAGCCAATGAAACGGTCTGTTACAGCTAGTTTTTGCCGTGAGCTACACAGAACTGTGGGTAACCAACTAGAAACATCAACGCTGATTGGTTATTCAAATGCCTGATATAATAGGGTCAAGAGTCACTCGTATGACCTCTGACCCAACCTTCAACTACAACCGGTCAGATCTTCATGTAGTAAAGGCCATCAAAAGTATAAAAAAACGAAACGAAATATAGATCTGTATTCTAATCAGATTGATTCCTGATTGGTTTAAACCCTCGCCTCCTTCTAACCTGCGCGTCCGTTCGCCATATGTACACAAGAATATTCTATGCCACATTGTCACCACATGGATCTTGATGGAGAGAGAGAGAAATGGGGTTTAACGTCCACTCGTTATAAACTAGGTCCTTTCTGGACTAACATATGGTTCAATTTTATTTCAATAATTCGCTTGCGCGTAGGGGTCTTTAGCAGTGGGAGGAAACCGGAGAAAACCCACGAGGTTGGACAGGTGACCCTACTCCTTGTCTCGTACAACCAGAAATCGAAACCGAATAGACCTGAAATGACCTGGTTTGTGTCGAGTGGATGTTAAACCCCATTCGTCTCTCTCTCTTCTAATAAACTGACAATACTGGGTATAAGATTTCTGACGGCCATCGTATTTGTCATGAATTATTTAAATTATCAATAATCTGATCTTTTTTGTTTCTTTTATTCAGTAACAAATGAATCGGAATTTAGATTGTATCGAAGAAAGTCGAATCCAGATAGGGATTCTGGGATAGGAACTTTACGAGAAGCAGATTTGAATGCACGAATGTCACAAAGCATTTCTGAAGCACAGTCATCTTATGTTGCTGCAATGCTTACACATGACGGAGAGGAAAACTCGGCACCTTATACGACCAAACAAACGACATTGCCATCTAATGTTGAAAACCAGTTGCCCAAAGGACTGGATGATCAGTACTCACAATCACAGTATCCAGTCGGCTACGAGAAATATTTACGATTGAAAGAGAGACAGAGACGATTACGAGCTATCCGGGGACGAGGTGATGATCGACCTTTATCGTTTCGTCAACCTGGTAACCATGAGAACATTGCCGATAGTAAATCACTTCATTCAATGATGTCATATACAGCAGGTAATTGCTAAATTATTTTATATGTTCGCTGAGCAGTTTTTTTCTAGATTTTCAAGTCTGGTTTTAACTTGCCAGTGGTGCAGGACAAAGAGCCACGCAAAATATACAGTGTACAGTATCAATGCACAATATACTGTATTTGTACACAATCTACAGTATCAATGCACAATGTACAGTATTAGTACACAATCTACAGTATCAATGTACACGATACAGTACCAATGCATAACATACAGTATTAATACACAATATGCAATATCAATGCACAATATGCAGTATCAATGCACAATATACAGTATCAATGCACAATATACAGTATCAATGCACACTATACAGTATCAGTGCACAATATACAGTACCATTGCACAATATACAGTACCATTGCACAATATACAGTATCAATGCACAATATACAGTACCAGTGCACAATTTACAGTATTAATACACAGTGTCCATGTACAATTAACACCATCAATGCACTATATATACAGTACTCCTTGAAACGCCTGGAAAATTAACATTTGTGGTTTCGCTATATGTTTTAAGATATAAAACTGACGTAGTCCTCAAATGTTTCTTCAAAAGTTCAGGAGTTCGTCGCCGTAAATGTTCTTCAAGTGTAAATAAAATACAATCTGATGTAGAGATCTATACCGGGACCCCTGGAATCTGGTAAATAACTCCTGGAAGCCTCCTGGAAATTTAAGTGTTCTGAGTTGTGCACACCCTGTGATAGGTCAATATAAACACAGTTTAAACATACATTTGCAAGAGGTAAATCTGCCTATTTCGGGTCTTTCTTTAGGTCTTAAATGTTATCTAAATTCTTAAATAGGCATTGATTAACTTATCCAGACCATAATCAACTCTCGATGCAATCGTTAGTCTGTGATATTTACTGGATTTGAATACATTTTGTCGTATATGATTTAACGTCAAAATAGGTAATCAAGACTTTGTCTTTTATTGTACCGACTTTAGTAATGATGATCGAAGCTAGGCCTAATATTTAATTTCTATTATCTCAGTTTAGAGTGGAGCAATTTGACTGAAATTTTCAGCATATTCTATTTACATTATTTAGTTTTTAACTATGATAGCGAGAACTGTCCCCTCTTTATCTAATCTCCCATAATGCCCCTATAACTAATATGATTATAAAGTTTAACATTAAACAGAACCTGCCCACATTAAAAGGGCATTATGTAAGATTACAAAAAAAGCTGACAGTTCTCGCTATAAACTTTAGCTTGGTCGGCCATTTCTTGGTTTAATTTTAAATGGACGACTGTTTAAATCCAAGCTGTATCCAAGCCATCCGAGGGTCTACAGAGTTGATTTTGAGCTTGTTGTGTAAGTAAAGGTCTAATTAATAATTTCTATAACATCTGAAGGATATAGGACTTGCAATAGTCAGATTTAGCCCTTGCATAATGTATGTTAAAACAGAAGCTGCACACATACACAGTATTTAAACAGGAAACTAGTATAACTTAGTTGTCTGTCCAATCTGGTGGGTTTTCAGAGTGAGGGGGGAATGGTTAGCGCATGTGCGCTGTATCGTAATGTCTGTCATTGAGTCAACTGGTGTGGTTTCAAGGAGTAGGGTCACCTGTCCAACCTCTAGGTTTTCTCTGAGTCCTCCAATTTCCTCCCACTGCTAAAGATCCCTACGGACAAGCAAATTATTGAAATGAAATTGAACCATATGTCGGTCCCGAAAGAACCTAGTTTGTGTTGAGTGGACGTTAAACCCCATTTCTCTCTCTCTCTTGTGGGTTTTCTCTTGGTCCTCGGGTTTCCTCCCACAGCTAAAGACCCCAATGCACAAACAAATTATTGAAATATATTTGAACCATATGTCAGTCTCAAAATAACTTAGTTTTGCATCAAGTAGTCCTTTAACCCCATTTCTCCCTCTCCCATACAACCTAGATTTTTCCTTATCACAAATGAATCTAATTATTTGATGAGTATGAGGATACTGTGAAATGATTTTACTGAGTAATAAATATTCTAGCATTACAACTTGGTACAGAAAATAGAAATACTCAGGGTAATTATATGATGTTGTGTTCAAACTATTAACATTATTAAACTAATAATATGGTTGATTACTGATATAATTTATTTTGTATATAGTGACATTGGCTTGTTGATTAATGACATTATCAAAATAAATAGTTTAATTATAATGAATGTATTAATTAATGTGTGATCTCAATTTAATAACCTTTTCATTAGTGAAATAACCTTTTGTTTAGTGAAATAACCTTTTGTTTAGTGAAATAATCTTTTGAATAGTGAAATTATCATTTGAATAATCTTTTGAATAGTGAAATAATCTTTTGATTGGTGAAATCATCTGTTAGTGACATTTTCTATCAATTAGTGACATCATCATCAATCGATTAGCAAACAGTGACATCCTCAATTAGTGAATTGTGACATCATCCATTGATTAATGAAAAGTGACATCATCATCCATCGATTACTGAATAGTGACATCATCATCTATCAATTAGTGAATAGTGACATCATCATCCATTGAATTGTGATGACATCATCTATCCAATAGTGGCATTGACCATTTATCTCTGAATTATTCCCGTGAAAAATCTCAGAAATGATCACTGATATTTAATTCAGTTTATTAAAATAGTTTTTTTTTTTTTTTATTATCAAGAATGGTTCAAATAATGGTTTAGAATTTCACTATCTAAAAAAAACAAAACATGAAAATATGAAGGAGAAAAAAAACAACCCATCATTTCACAGCCTATAAATGATTAATAGTCAGATTTGTTATATTCAATATTTTCCTTCATTTTTGCTTTCAGGGGGGTTGGATGGCCGAATGGTTAGCACGTGCGTACTGTATCATAAGGTCTGTCATTGAGTCAACTGGCGTGGTTTCGATTCCCTGGTTGTACGTGACAAGGGGTAGGGTCACTGGTCCAACCTTGTGGGTTTTCTCCGGATCCTCAGGTTTCCTCCCACTGCTAAAGACCCCTACACGTAACCGAATGATAGAAATAAAATTGAACCATGTGTTAGTCCTGAAATGACCCATTTTTTGCTTTCAAAAGTGGGTAGGACGCTGGCTCGCTAGCCTGGAGGTCGGATGTTCGATCCCAGCATTGGCCGAGAAAATTCATCTCGATGTTCCGGTGTGGTTTCCCCTATTCAGTGGTGCAGGACGGATGGCCCAACAAGGACAGCTGTCTAGTTGTTTGGATGGGACGAAAAAAAACGAGGTCCCGTGTATACATTGGCAAGCACGTAAAAGATCGCTTGGCAGTTGGAATTTGATATGAGTAGACCAGAATGCCACTGCCCGGGCAAAATTTCCCTCATAGCACACTGTATGGTGTATGCCCATCTTCATTAGCCCAGTCGTAGCTGAACAGTAGGATGTTAAACCCCATTTCATTTCATTTCAATGAGATGAAGTTTTTTCAGCCATTTTATTGAGTGAAAATTATTCGCTTTACGCATATTTGTGTAAGAGATGAAAGAGTTTACTTTATTCCCCCTGATTGAAAGAGATGTGGGAGGAGGGGGGGGGGGTCGAAGGGTTAGCATGTGTGCGCTGTATCATAAGGCCTGTCATTAAGTGACAAGGAGTAGGGTCGCATGTCCAACCTCGTGGGTTTTCTCTGGGTCCTCCGGTTTCCTCCCACTGCTAAAGACCCCTACGCGCAAGCGAATTATTGAAATAAAAAATTAAACCATATGTTAGTCCCGAAATGACCTACTTTGTGTCGAGTGGACGTTAAATCCCATTAATGGGTTGAACGAGTTTATTTTATTCCCCCCTGATTGAAAGAGACGTACTATAAATATTGTTAATGGATTGTGATTTTATCTCATGTCAACAAGGATGTAGAATTTGATCTATTACCCTGAATATTAAAGATGCATTATGTAAGATTAATATTGTTGGTCGTTCTTGCTATAATATTTCAAAAATAGAAAATGTAAAATGAATATACAGTAGACTCATTGAATTCCGATTACACAGTGTGTCGGAATACTCAATTGCCTCAATACCGGAAATATTATTGTACCTACGAATACCGGAAGTATTGATTACCCAAAATAGATAATGAAAACTGAATATATTGAAAAGTTTTGTGAATGTTTGAAATTTTGACAACAATAGTGTAGTCTCAAACTCGGATGAGTCCAGTCGCCGATCTCTGTGTCTCTTTAACTACAGAAATCAAAGGGTCTGATATACCCTTGTATAGCTAACTGCAAAATTTATTTAAAGGCTCAATACCACTCTTGTTGTAACTGAATAATATGTCACAATCTTTATTCTGGTCAATAAATTGTACAATTTTACAATATTCCAAGAATTAATTGAGGATACAAATTTCATCTTAACACACCTAATTTAAAAAATTAAAAAAATTAAACTAAATGATTTGAAAAGCCTGACGTAAAGCTTTTCAAATGTTACTTGGATTTAAAAATATTTTTGTACCCTCTGGACAAGTAAAATAGGATTTAATGGATAATTTACACAACAGGTAAGACACTAACACATCTAGTACTTAGAATAAGGCTTTTTTTTTATTTTCTGGAGCTGTCAAGCCAGCAAGAGTGTTATTGTCCCTTTAATAGACAACGTTGTCACTAGATGTGGAATTAATCAAGTCTGTAATTAAATACGTGTAGTGGACAGTATATCTTATATCGTAGATCAATAACATATGGGGTTCCATAGGTTCATGTATGTGGGGTTCAGATTGGATCTATGCATTTAAATAAATACTTTACATGTATATAATATAATCTTAATGTGATACAAGTTATGGAGCACTTTGTCACACCTGCAAACGGCAGGTTTAGGTCTTACATAATGCATCTTTAATCTACTTCTGTGTTTTCTTTGAGTCATAAAATATTTTCATCACCTGAGATCTTAGACCAATATTTTCTTAACGATATCATAAAATAGCTATCTAGAAACTAACGATATCATAAAATAGCTATCTAGAAACTATTTGGGTTATTTTTTTTACTAGATTTATTTATGGCTTTTTATATTGAATAGTGTTTTATTGTATCGGTTGTACAGGGGCGCGGCTGTAACCTACTTGTGTCACGGTTAATATTGTTTGCACTGTGATATAGTTCAGTTAAATATTGCATTAAATAAATAATCCATTCAATTGATTCACTTATACTGTAATATAAACACATCAGGTATATACTGGTTATTATAATTCAAGCCGGTAGATACGGGGCCACCTGTCATAGAGGTTATCAGGCTTTAATTATAACTTTGTAATGCTCAATTCCTTTACTGTCCTGTTTAGGTGTGTTATATTTTCTGTGAAACAATATCCAATATGTCAGGTGATACATGTAATTCACTAGTTTCTTTAAAAAAAATTCAGGTTCGACTAAAATAGTTATAATTTCATAGAGAAACCGATACTGGAGTATTCTCCTCAATTTATTTGCAAATATTGACGGAGTAATCTCTTGTTACATATTGATAGGTGTAAGTAGCTTCTTTCAAAGTTTCTCAATTAACTTTTTTTAGTAACAAAATCCAACGTGGGCTAATGTATTTTTGTATTTTTTCAGGTACTTACATGCCTGACCTTCACCCCCAGTATGGGTCAGAGGTCGCCTATAGATTAGGTCAAGGGTCAGATCAAGATAGCATGTTTAGTAGTGATTTATCAATGATGGCCGATCATAATACTCTCAGGTAAAAGGAATTAAATAGAATAAAGAATAACATATCAATGGGAGATGGAATTACAATATGGAGCCATGGAGGCTCAGTGTGTAAGATGCTGGCTTACTAACCAGTCTGGGGGCTTGGGTGGTCTAGTGGTTTAACGCGCGTGCATGAAATCACAAGGTCTGTCATTGAGTCAACTAGCGTGTTTTCAATTCCCCAATTGAACGTGACAAGGAATAGGGTCAACTGTCCAACCTGTCTGGTCGTTTGGATGGGATGAAAAACTGAGGTCCTTTGGACACATTGGCGTGCACGTAAAAGATCACTTGACTATTGGAATTCGATATAAGAGTAGGCTGTAGTGCCACTGTCCTGGCAAAATTTCCCTCATAGCTCACTGTTTGGAGTATTCCGTTTCCATTAGTCCAGTCGGAGTAGGACGTTAAACAATATTTCATTTCATTTGCATAAAAGTAGGACATGAAATCCCATTTCATTCCCTTCACCCAGACTGTGTAAAATAAATAATATTTTGTATATTTTAGAGCTAGTAAGACTACAATAAACTCTGGTGTCCCGGTTGCTCCTGTTAGAAAGAAGCGAGTCAAACAAGTTACAACGAATCCACCCGTTAATAGGGTAAAAATAATTTAATCATACTTAAACATAACATTAAAGAGCTGGCTGTTCTCACTACAGGGTTCCCGCGGTCCTTGAAAATCCTTTAATATCCTTAAATTTAAAATTTCATTTTCAAGGTCTTGAATATCTTTGAATTTCGCGGAAATAGGAAAATATCCTTGAATTTCAGTTGAGATCCTTAATTTTGTTTCAAATGTCTTCAATTCCTTTTAAATATGAGATTATAAAGATAGTTGGTAATGTTTTGGTTATTTTTAAGATGAAAAATTGTAACTTTAGGCTAAAAAATGTCCTTGAAAATCCTTGAATTTGACGTATATTTATCCTTGAATATCCTTGAAAAAATGTTTGACAAAGCCGCGGGAACCCTGCACTATGATAGTTAGTTTTCACAATCATCTTTATCTGTAGCCTTTAGCAAAATAAAACAATTTTACAATTTAAAGATACATTATGGGAGATTAGATAAAGAGCTGGCAGTTCTCACTATAATAGTTAAAAACTAGATATTGTAAAGGCAATTTGCTGAATATTTCAGTCAAATTGATCCACTATGAACCGAGAAATAAGCGATCGAAAGTTCTGGCTAGCCTTGATCATCATTACTAAATCATGAATGTAAGGCGAACAGCAAATCGGACAATATTCCAATAAACATCGCAGGCTAGCAATGCCATCGAGAGTTGATTATAGTCTGGATAAGTTAATTAATGTCTAATTAATAATTTAGATAACATTTCAGGCCTAAAGAAAGACCTGCAATAGGCAAATTTAGCTCTTGTATAATGCATGTTTAAGACTACTGTATTATAATGCTAGGTTCTCACTGTAATGCGATGGGTTGCGATAGGATTGTCCCTAATGAGTCCACAATCCGGTACGTACAGATACGTTTCAATACAGTCAACACGATTGCTACGAATGACCTCAATATACGATAAGACCTGATAGGATCACCACGATTACTCCACGATTAAAACCACGATTTCAATCGCAGCAAGAATCGTGATAGTGGGAACCTTGCATAAGAGATAAGAGTGGTTATCCCGGTTGTCAGTGACTAGTTTCATTTAGCTATTTTTTTATCATCATACCTAGGCTACTGTATATAATATATGGCTGTATATTATATCATCATACCTAGGCTACTGTATATAATATTATATGGCTGTATATTATATTATCATACCTAGGCTACTGTATTATATCATTATATGACTAGTATATTATATCATATACTTAAGCTACTGTATTTTTATATTAAAACAGGATTTTGTGGGTCCAGAATTTGTCCACTTTGCTGTTAAGCCACCTATAAGAATACCAATGCCACTACAAGGGGAGGTATGTGTTATTTTAAGTTGTACAAGAACATATTTATGGCTTTTAGTTAAAGTTCGTTGCAGGAAAACACTTGTTTTCTTTATTTGAATTTAACAAGGGCTAAAAGTATTGGATAGTAATTTAGATGATTCTAACATAAAATCAAGGTTGGAATGAAATGGGGTTTAACACCCTACTCTTCTGCTCCGACTGGCCTGATGAGGGTGGACATTCCCCATACAGTGTGCTATGAGGGAAATTTTGCCAGGAAACAGCGGCACTACTCTTATTTAGAATTCCAACTGCCAAGGGATCTTTTACATGCACGTCAATGTGTACATGGGACCTCAGTTTTTCGTCCCACGTCGGAAAATCCTAATGAAAAAAAATAAATCAAAATTTATGTACCGTATAGAAATAAGCCATCGGTTTGATCCAGGGCATCACTGTAGTCGGGCAGTTAGAGCATGGCCAAAAAAATTAGAAATATCAGGACATTTTATAAGGTCCCGAGTTCACTTTGTTGTTTTCATGTATCAAATACACCAGTAAGAAACTATGTACAAAGTTTTGTGTTTCTGGATCAAAGATATTTCTCATAGGCAGTGATTGAAAGTTGAGTAAATTCTTAACTTAAGTCTGAGAATGCTTTGTGAACTCGAATATTGTGACTTTAATCTAATTTGGTTTAATTTACAATAAACAGAGTTTAAAGAATCCATCCCATGCTAGAAGAGTTATAATAGTTCATCTAACCGGACAGAAGTATGAAGTTATCTGTGATCCTAGTACGAACGGCAGACAACTATTCGATGTTCTTGTGACACATATCGGTCTAGCAGAATATTATTATTTTGGTTTGACCTTTATAGCAGGTTGGTGTCATAAACTATTCTTATTTTATAAATATGATTAGTCTGATCTATGAATTTATGGTTATTGAGTGCAAGCACTTTGAATTTATATTTTATGTGTACTTTAAAATGTCTATAAAAATTTGGGTAATGGTAAAAATTTCATATTCTGTTGAAAAAATATGATTAAAATACAGATCTATATTTTGCCTCGTTTTTATACGCCAAAAGTTATGATCCAATTGTTTTAAAATTTAATCCTTGAGTGGCATTTAGCGATTGAACACATTAAAAACACAACACAGTTTATATGGAAATACAATCACTGGTTTATAAGTATAGCACGACGTTTCGACAAGTATTCTCTTATCGTTATCAAGCATCATTTGTGCTTGATAACGATAAGAGAATACTTGTCGAAACGTCGTGCTATACTTATAAACCAGTGATTGTATTTCCATATAAACTGTGTTGTGTTTTAAAATTAATATATGTTGTTCACATTGGTGAGATGAAGAAGCCTATTTAATTTCAATAATTTCCGTTTATTACGTCTAGAGTTATGGCCCGTATATCACTTTGTTGGACTTTGTGAATGCTCTAATGCCAAAAGTGATCATCCAATCTTTGTGAAATTTATATGCATTATTAAATTAGTGAAACGAAGAAGCCTATTGAATTTCCGTTTATTACGTCTAAAGTTATAGCCCTTGTTTCACTTTATTCTACCTCGTGAATGCTCTAATGCCAAAAGTTATCATCAGACCTTTCTAGAATTTATATGCATTGTTTAAATTAATGAAACGAAGAAGCCTATTGAATTTCAGCAATGTTAGTTTATTACTCATATGACCCTGGACGTGACCTCCCACTACTACTGGTCAGATCTTCATGTAGTAGAGGCCATCGAAAGTTTTAAAAAAAACGAAATGAAATATAGATCTGTATTTTAATCCGATTGATGTTTAGCTTCATTCATCCAGTCTCTTTATTACTTTATTATGCTCTGTAGTGGTTTAGGGGATGTTTAATTGAGTAAACACTTTGTCACTTCAAGTTCAAGGAATGCAAAAAGCAAACTTTGATGTCAATTTATAATATATTGTGTCATTTGTTATTTTATCAGAGTCGGAACATTTTTTTATTGATCCTGATACGAAGCTACACAAGGTGGCTCCGGATGGTTGGAAGGAAACGGTGAAAGGACAAATCCCTATTATAACATTCACAGTATATGTACGAGTCAAGTTTTATATGGATAGTATTACAGACATCAGGTATGTCAGCTACCCTCCTCCCCCTATTCCCCCCACCTTCCTCCCTATTGTCTTGCGAGGTTGGATGGCGGAATGGTTAGCGCGTGCACGTTGTATTATAAGGTCTGTCATTGAGTCAACTGGCGTGGTTTCGATTCTCTGGTTGTAAGTGACAACCTCGTGGGTTTTCTCCGGGTCCTCTAGTTTCCTCCCACTGCTAAAGACCCCAAGCGAATTATTGAATTAAAATTGAACCATATGTTAGTCCCGAAATGATCTGGTTTGTGTCGAGTGGACAATAAACTCCATTTCTCTCTCTCTCTCTCTCCTTATTGTCCGGAATATTTTGTTATGACTCTAAGATATTTGATTGAAATTTTGCATATAACACTTTTATTGTCATGATCAGCCCCCTATTGTCCTAAATTTTCAGAGGGGTTGGATGGCCGAATGGTTAGCATGTGCGCGCTGTATCATAAGGCCTGTCGTTGAGTCAACTGGCGTGGTTTCGATTCCCCGGTTGTACGTGACAAGGAGTAGGGTCGCCTGTCCAACCTCATGTGTTTTCTCCGGGTCCTCCGTTTTCCTCCCCCTGCTAAAGACCCCTATGCGCAAGCGAACTATTGAAATAAAATTAAACCATAGTTTTTGTCGAGTGGACGTTAAACCCCATTTCTCTCTCTCTCTCTCTTTAATTTTCGGAATATTTGATTGAAAACTGATTCACTGCTGTATATAACATTACTGCTTATATTAGATAAACTATTTTTGATATAGATTACACTAACCCTGGCCCAACCGTACTGTGGGTAAGAACTGCCTCTGTTCGAACAATTCCCCCCCCCCCTTCCATTATTAACTAATGCATATTTAAGCTAATAAATGAAAACAAAATAATATTTCAGACATGACAGTAGTTATCATCTGATGTATCTACAGTTACGACGAGATATAATAGAGGATAGATTTTACTGTACCGACGATCAGGCCCTGGCACTAGCTGGTCTCGCTCTACAGGTAGAGTTCGGAGATTATAATCCTGCTACCATGACAACAGGATATTTTGTACCAGAACAGTACTTCAGCACGAGAATGACGAGAAAACTTGGTATGCAGTATTTACGCGATCATGCAAAAGAAATGCATCAGAATTTACAAGGGCATCCGTCTTCTCAGTCGGAGTTGGAATTTATTAAGGTATAGAGTTTTTTGAATGCATCTTGTTCATCTTTCATTGTCCTTCTGAAATACGGGGTTGGATGGCCGAATGGTTAGCATGTGTGCACTGTATCATAAGGTCTGTCATTGAGTCATCTGGCATCATTTTGATTCCCCGGTTGTACGGACAAAGAGTAGCTAGGCCTGTCCTACCTCGTGGGTTTTCTCTGGGTCCTCTGCTTTCCTCCCACTGCTAAAGACCTCTACACACAAACAAATTATTGAAATAAAATTGAACCATATGTTAGTCCCTAGTTTGTGTTGAGTGGAAGTTAAACCCCATCTCTCTCTCTGCATTGGCCAATTTGATTTAAGAGTAGGCCACAGTGCCACTGCCTTGGCAAAATTTCCCAAATAACACACTGTATGGCATATGCTCGTCTTCATTAGCCTAGTCGGAGCAGAACAGTAGGACGTTAAACCCCATTTCATTTCATTTTCTTCAAGCAGTGATGAAGATTAAGACTTGAAATGAAACCTAGTCCTAATTCGCTCATAGAATTGTGTTGAAATTCAAATTAAGTGTGTTTTTTTTATTATTTAGAAATATATAGTAAATCAGTAAATGTATTAAAAGGGTTCAATATCTGTTTTTATTTTCAGTGTATACAGAAGTTACCAGAATATGGAATTCATTACCACAAATTGTTAAAGGTATTCTATTCGTTAATTAAACTCTATGTGTTTCTTTTTCATTTTTGAGAAATATCAAATTTTCCATGCTGAAATGTGCTTAAATTGATTATTTAACATTTAAAGCGTCACTATGGAAGATAAAGAGCTGTCAGTCCGCGTTATAATAGTTGAAAAATCGATAATGTACTGGGAATATGTCATTAAGTCAAGTAGCGTGGTTTCGACCCATCGCTTGTATGTGACAAGGAGTAGGGTCACCTGTTCAACCTCATAGGTTTTCTCTGGGTCCCCCGGTTTCCTCCCACTGCTAAAGACCCCTACGTGCAAGCGAATTATTAAAATAAATTTGAAGCATATGTTAGTCCCGAGGTAACCTACATTGTGTCGAGTGGACGTTAATCTATCTCTCTCTTATCATTAGCAAGGAATTCAGAGTCCCTGAAATGCCGTTCACTTTAGTCCTGTTATAAAAATGATGGAGTGACTTCTGATGTAATTTGTGTATCCATCTTTTTCTGTTATTTTTAGAACAAACACGATTCAATGAGCACTGTGTGGGTTGGAATATCCAGTCGGAATTTAGTGATTGCTGAAAATCAGGGACATGAACGAATTATCGTACAGCGTCATCCATGGCAGTCGACACAGAAAATATCATTTAATAAACGTCGATTCAGTGTTCAACCAAAACCAGATATCGGTACACATATAGCCAAACCTCCCAAGATTAACCTCTATTGCAACACATATAGAAAGTAAGTTTATGAACCTATGTAGGATTAACCTCTATTGCAACACTTACAAAAAGTAAATTGTCTAGGCTAACCTGTTTTGTAACACTCCCAGAAAGTTGCTGAATCATCCTACATTTAGGCTAATCTCTATTGTAACACTTATATAAATAGAAATTAATTTTCTGAACCTCCCTAGATTTACTTATAGAAAGCAAGTTTTCGAACCTCCCTAGATTAACCTCTATTGTAATACTTTAACCTCCCTAGATAAACCTCTATTGTAACACTTATAGAAAGTAAGTTCCTGAACCTCCCTAGATTAACCTCTGTTGTAACACTTATAGAAAGTAAGTTTGTGAACCTCCCTAGCTAGATTAACCTCTATTGTAATACTTAAACCTCCCTAGATAAACCTCTATTGTAACACTTATAGAAAGTAAGTTCCTGAACCTCCCTAGATTAACCTCTATTGCAACACTTATAGAAAGTAAGTTCCTGAACCTCCCTAGATTAACCTCTATTGTAACACTTACAGAGATAAATTCTTGAACCTCCCTAGATTAACCTCTGTTGTAGCACTTATGGAAAGTCAATCTTGAACCTCCCTAGGTTAACCTCTATTGTAGCACTTATAGAAAGTAAATTCTTGAACCTCCCTAGGTTAACCACTATTGTAGCACTTATAGAGAGTAAATTCTTGAACCTCCCTTGATTAACCTTTATTGTAGGTTCAGTTAGTTGAAGTCAAGCTAAATTGAAGTCAAGCTAAAAAAATTCTTGTTATTTGTTTTTTTCCAGGGGTCGCTACTTGTTACAGATTTCAACAGCTCAGCATCGTTTTCAGATGAGAATGCGGACTCGACCCAGTAATACAGAAACTATTCATGGTATGGCTATTACTTTTCGCTTTTCTGTATCTTGGAAAAAATACTTACGCCTAAACTTTATATTTAAACATACATTATGCAAGAGGTAAATCTAACTATTGTAGCTCTTTCTTTAGGCCTGAAATGTTATCTAAACTATTAATTAGACATTAATTAACTTATCCAGACCATAATCAACTCTAGATTATTATTAATTTGTAAAAAAAACAACCATGTCCCGTCTTTGCATGCAGTTAAAACATATTGTATTATGGTCATCTGTAATAAAATCTTATCAACCACAACATTTCTCATATATGTTGGCTACCAAAAGAATATTATCAGGACCAGGATCCAAGGGTTACATCTTCACCACCTTCTTGGAATTGAGACGTTACATCAAAAATCGTAGTCTGTCAATTGATGCACAAGTATCAAAGGAACAATCCGGCCAAGTTTCATATCGTTAGTAATTTAATTGACTTAGCATTATGCTTTTTATGAGGAGTGTCACGATCAAGATCAATAACACGATGAGTAATGCTTGGAGGAGACCAGTTCCTGGATATATGTAGTATTAACTTTGAAATGAAATTTGCTAATGAAGACGGGCATACGGCATACAGTGTGCTATGAGGGGAATTTTGCCAGGACAATGGCGCTACAACCTACTCTTATATCGAATTCCAACTGCCAAGTGTTTTTTGACATGTATGTCAATGTATACACTGGACGTTGGTTCTTCATCCCTTCCGCACACGACTGTATAAGTTGTCTCTTGCCAGGCTCTCTGCCCTGCACTGACACGAAGGAATCACACCGGTAAATCCTGATGAACTTTCTTGGCCAGCACCAGGATCAAACATTGGACCTCGATGATATGTATTGTACTGACTGTGGTTATATATTTTAGGTCAGGAAGCAGTTGCTGGAGCGTCTGTCAGTTTGGGTTTGACGTCTGCTGGTGTCATGGAAGATTATCTGATTGACGACAGAATCAGTGTTGATAATAGGGTAAATAATTTATGTCAAAACCATTTGGAAATCATACAGTCTGTGGTATTTGGGAAGTATGGTAAAAATCAACGGTTCCCTATCTTTCTGAAACATGTAAAAACAATGACCCTATCTCCCCAGACAGAAACTCTCTCAATCCCCCCTGTCTTCCCCCCCACCCTTGACTGGGAAAATCTGTGTACATATGAAATTTGAGCAGCAAAATATAGAGGAATGGTGTATTTACCTTTCCTCAAAATTTCAGCTCAAAACGTCAAACACGTAACCCTTTTAAGATTTCGGATCAGTTTTTTCCTTGGGTGACCTGATAATTTATTGTCGTTCCTTTAGTGGTCTATACAGTGCATGACCCACATGCTGTTCTTGATAACGAAAGGTAAATTTCACCTACACGTTATTTTTATAAATTAAAGTCTGGTTTTATCCAGACACCGCATAAAACTGCTTGGGACACCGGTCTTCATTTCCAGATGAAGACTGGCAGTTTAAGTGTTTGAAATGGATCACGTATATTGAGATAGTTGCTTGACCCTAAGGTAGAGGATTTTACGGATTTCTAACACAACATTAAGCAGTTTTATTCTCCAAAATATTATGGGGATTGGCCCTTTAAAGAACGTTCATTGTGAAATATTAAACATTTTACAAGATTTTAAGTACATTTCTTATTCTCCAGAAAAATCTATTAATTGGATTGGATGTTTTAAACTTTAAATTGTATTTTGTATATTATATTTTTAGGGCTATGATACAAGTTTTGATGCAGGAAGGATTGGATATTTTAAACTTTTAATCATATTTTGTTTATTTTATTTTTAGGGTGTTAGTAGTGCTAGTGCCTATGATTCAAGTTTTGATGCAGGAAGTATCGGGTTTGTTGCAGACACCAGGTCTCAAGAACCACCTTTAAAATACAGAAGGTATGGTGGACCGTATGCATGGAACGTGTCATGATTAACTTGCATTTTGGATTGTTTCCATTGAATATACTAAATTTATAGATTTTGGAATGTCTCCTTTCAATCTGATTAAAACACAGATCCTATTTCATTTCGATTTTTATAGTTCAAAATTTCATTTTATTTGTCTTACTACACTAGAATCTGGAAAAGTTGTTATATAACCCGTGTTCTAGTTGATGTGAGGGATTAGCCAATGAAATGGTCTGTTGCAGCAAGTTCTTGGAGTGCGATGCATGGAACTGTGGGTATTCCACTAGAAACATCAACACTGATTGGTTAATCAAATGTCTGATGTTATAGGTCAGAAGCCGCTCGTATGACCCCTGACGCGACCTCCCACCACAACTGGTTAGATCTTAATGTAGTAGAGGCCATCGAAATTATAATAAGTGAAACGAAATATAGATCTGTATTTTAATCAGATTGATCCCCTTTGAATATACTAATGTATAAATTTTGATGATGAGAACTGCTGATAGGTAATTTTAAAATGTTTTCTTTAAATACTAAATTTATCGTAATTGGGTTTTTTCGATGAGTCATTTTAAAATGTTTCCTTTAAATACTAAATTTATCGAAATAGGATTTTATTGGTGATGACTGATGAGACATTTTGGAATTTTTCCTTTAAAAATACTGAATCTATAGATTTTGATGATGATGACTGTTTCGGAGAGCAAAGATTTGAGAGGAACAGTGGGGGACGAGCGTAAAGAGGCATTTTGATTTGTTAACTGAAATATGCACAAATATCCTAAACAATTTTAATTACAAAAACACATGCGCCTTCTTTGTAAAGTCGACGAAAAAAGAAGTTTTAAAAATATGTTGCGTTATAACTTGATTGTGTTTATATTTACTGATGCTGCTTGCTGCTTGAACCTTCTCTTGTTTTTTTCCCTTACATTTAAATGAATTAATTAGGGAAATAACTCTAGTGTGAATATTCTCAAATGAATTGTAATCATGTTTCACAGAACTCTATTGCTGCAGGTGCTCTATGGCAAGAAATCCACTTGTTAATCTAAAAGTGGAGCAAGTCACAGTGATTTATTGAGTTAGGCATTGGGAGCTTTTAGTGGCTCAGTGAGTCAGGCATAGGGAGCTTTGAGTGACTCAGTATCATTTAATCTTGGGTATCTAGCACTAATTTCTTTCACATTTATTCAATATCAAATCTGTGTTTAAAAATTTGTAAAAGTCGTTTAAAATCACCAAAAATCATCTAATTTGTACTTATGTCCAGGTTAAAGCTGACCGATTAATTTTGATAATGAGTGTCCAATTTACAAGCGTTTAATTTCTCGATCACTATTAGAAACAAACAACCCAATTGATTATTGATGTATAATGATTAAGTTTTGAACAGTTGTCAGGAAATTAAATACTTGTAAATTGAACACTCATTATCAAAATTAATCAGTCAGCTTTAAACTGGAGGCAAGTACAAATTAGATGATTTTAAATGAGTTTTATGAATTTTTAAACAAAGATTTGATATTGAATGAATGTGAAAGAAATTAGTGCTAAATACACAAGATTAAATGATACCTGAGTTATCGAGTCAGTACTTTAAATTTCCTTTCATCAAAGATTGGTGTGAATTGGGGAATTCAATTCTAGAATGTTCAATAGAGTTTTTCCTGGTACTAACAACATTTAATATGTCTAAATTACTAATGAAAATGGAAAGTTGATCGTAAGTAACCTATTTATAACCATATAATTTGCATGTTAAATTATTTAGCCCTCCACCATATCGACCTGGCTTGAGTTACAGTCTGGATGACCTTCGTGACCCCTCCTTATCACCATTACGACAGCCTTTAAATAACAATATGGCCGCCTCCAACATGGAGTTGCATCGTCCTGTTGCTGTGCATGGTAATTTGCATGTTGATCGATCCTTGCATGATGACCGTTATCACTCAGGTTTGTATTATATCTTTAGCTAATTTTAAAACTTTACGTTTTAAAATACTGTATTTATGAGAGAGAGAGAGAGAAATGGGGTTTAACGTCCACTCGACACAAACTAGGGCATTTCTGGACTAACATATGGTTTAATTTTATTTCAATAATTCGCTTGCGCGTAGGGGTCTTTAGCAGTGGGAGGATACCGGAGGACCCGGAGTAAACCCACGAGGTTGGAAGGCGACCCTACTCCTTGTCACATACAACCAGAGATTCGAAACGGTGCCAGTCGACTCAATGACAGACTTTATGATACAGCGCGCGCACGCTAACCATTCAGCCATCCAACCCCCCTGTATTTATGACCACAGACTTATTCAAATCATCTGGCCCTGGCCCCAAGTTCACAAATCATTTTCAGACTTAAGTTAAGAATTGTTCGCCTTATCTTAACTAAAATGTAGCCCTTTATAAAACTTTAGTTCTTTTAATATATCAAATATATCAATAAGAAACTATGTGTTTCTGGATCAAAGATATTTCTCATAAACAGTGATTAAAAGTTGAGTAAATTCTTAACTTGAGTCTGAAAATCCTTTGTGGACTCGCTGGGCCTGGTTCCACGAAACATTCTCAGACTAAAAAGTTAAGAATTTACTCAAAACTGTTTGCTTTATTTAAACTAAACTTATATATCCCTTTATAAAACTTTTGTTGTTTTAATGTATTAAATACATCAATAAGAATATATCCAGATCACACTGAAGTAGACTTCGATTCCCCGGTTGTACGTGACAAGGAGTAGGGTCGCATGTCCAACCTCTCCGGGTCCTCCAGTTAAGAATTTACTCAAAACTGTTTGCTTTATTTAAACTAAACTTATATATCCCTTTATAAAACTTTTGTTGTTTTAAAGGAGCTAAATCGCTAACATTTGGGACCTAGAAATTCACAAAAGTGAGTCGCAATGCATATAATACTGTAATATGAATGTATATAAACTGATTTACATTTAATGGTTTCCGTTTTTACTCCAATTTCAAATCAGTTATGTTCGGCGAAATAAGTCAGCAATCTCAATTGAGTGCAAATTTCTAGCGTCTAGTTATTCTAGTCTACATAACTCCATTTGATTTGGTGCAATGTGTCTAGCCTCGTCCCTCGAGTCTCTCAATACAACTGGGGCTGAAGCGCATTATGGTACACGATTATTTTATCTTAAATATTGGATATCAGAAGCTCATCTTTTCCCGGTAAGTTTACATCATCAATGTTGATTTAAATTGACCAATAATTCGTGTTTTCGATGTCGAAGATTTTGGAGGATTTTGAGTTACGGACTTAGGTCCTTTAATGTATTAAATACATCAATAAGAATATATCCAGATCACACTGAAGTAGACTTCGATTCCCCGGTTGTACGTGACGAGTAGTGTCGCATGTCCAACCTCGTGCATTTTCTCCGAGTCCTCCAGTTTCCTCCCACTGCTGAAGACCCCTACGCGCAAGCTAATTATTGAAATAAAATTGAACCATATGTTAGTCCCGAAATGACCTAGTTTGTGTCGAGAGGATGTCAACCTCTCTCTCTTCTCTCTCTCTCTCTCTGTAAAATCTTTGAACACTGTGGTGACAAAATTTATCGTCTAAAGATTTGAAATTCATATTCATTCAGACTGGTTATATGTAGAATTCTCTTGCAGCATTATCTGATAATTACCCATAGAGTTACTGCCCTTGATTATGTACCTGAATCATAATATACAGTCTGAAGATTTTTCTTTGTATTTACATAAAAATTCATAAATCGACAACCTTTATGGGACTATTCAAACGACTGCTGTGGGCGTATTTTACCGTTGCCTGGCAACCAACCTTCAATAATGTTTTATTGTATTCTAGGAGGAGGCTAAGTGGGTAAGACGCTGGCTCGCTAGTCTGGAGATCGTATGTTCGATCCCTGCATTGGCCAAGAAAGTTGATCAGAATTTTCCAATGTGCGTTCCCCTTGTCAGTGGTGCAGGACGGAGGGCCTGACAAGGACAGCTGTCTAGTCATTCGGATGACACGAAAAACCAAGGTCCTGTGTCTACATTGGTGTGCACATAAAATATCCTTGGTAGTTGGAATTCGATATAAGAGTAGGCCATAGTGCCGCTGCCCGAGCAAAATTTCCTTCATAGCACACTGTATGGTATACCTGTCTTTAATAGCCCAGTTGGATCAGAACACTAGGTCGTTAAACCCCATTTCATTTTATTGTATTATAGGTTTGAGGAGAGAAGAGGAGGAAACCCAATCATTCAATAATTCTATAAATAGCAGTAAGTAGTCCAGATTAAACTAGATTAAATACACTGTATCTATCAGGGAGTAGTCCAGATTAAACTAGTTTTAACTCTATTATAACACTTTTAGAAAGTAATACCACATCTATTTGTTTGGATAGGAAGGAAAACCAAGCTCCTGTGTACATGTTGGCCTGCATGTAAAAGAGCCAAAATTTCTTTCATTGCACACTGCATGGTGTATAGCCATTGTCATTAGACAGGTTGGTGCAGAATAGTGGAACATTTCACCGACTGGAACCATGGTGGCTAAGTGAGGAAGACGCAGGCTCACAAGCCCGGATGTCACGGGTTCGCTCCCTGTGTTGTCCAAGAAAGTTCATCAGGATTTTCCGGCGTGGTTTTCTCTTGTCGAACAAATACATCGTATAACTGAAATATAAATTTTGATTTTCATTACAGGCAATGTAGATCAAACAGAGGAGGCCCTTCTTTCCGCACCTTCACGTCTGGGACCTCGAGTAACGGAAGTGACCTTGAGGAAAGAAGAGCATCATGGTATAGGAATGACAATAGTGGGCGGTAAGAGCACGGAGAAGCTTGGGCTGGGGATATTTGTAAAAACTGTTGTACCCCGTGGACCGGCGTATCGAAGCGGCTATATCTTTCCAGGTGATCGTATCGTTGCCATTAACGATAACAGACTTGAGGGAGTTGAGCATCGTGGAGCAGTTCAGATGATTCGGGATTCAGGAGTAAATGTAAAATTGTTAATAGCCCAAGCTCGAGCACCTCCTACTCTTCGTCGTAAACATTTAGAACAGGAACTTAGCGACGAGCTAGATGCTGAGTTGGACGAAATAGCTCGTAGTTATGAAGATATTTATACTAGTAGTTTATCTGCAGACTTGAAAAACAATCAACTCAGTCGTTCCATGGATAATCTGGGTTCAAATCCTGGTTCAAATCCTCCGATCAAACCTCCACGAGGTCGCAAAACAAAAGATTTACCGCCTGTCAATGACTTAATGCGGGAACTGTCTCAAACAGGCATGTCGTACCCTAGAACTGATCATGTGATCGTACAGCCATCCAATCACAGACAAGAACAGAAAATCAGCGTTAAAGCGGATATAGAACATTTACCTCTGACCCCAGAGGATATAATATCAGGCAATTTAGTGTATCGGGATCAATCCAGTCTTGTATCGACTATTGATGTTCATGAGGAAGCTGCAAGACCAGATAATCTAGACTTGTTACTGGATGAATCAAACAATTCACAAGAATTAGAAATTGTTGGAGGTGAGTTTGTGAGATTTGTTCGTAATATACCGGTTACTACGTTGGTTTAGCCAGAAGATCGTGTGTGCGAACCTGGTGAGGGGGGGTTGGATGGCCGAATGGTTAGCGTGTGCACGTTGTATCATAAGGTCTGTCATTGATCATTGAGTGAACTGGCATGGTTTCGATTCGCTGGTTGTACGTGACAAGGAGTAGAGTAGCCTGTCCAACCTTATAGGTTTTCTCTTGGTCCTCCGGTTTCCTCCCACTACTAAAAACCCCTACGCGCAAGCGAATTATTAAAATAAATTTGAACCATATATTAGTCCCAAAATGACCTAGTTTGTGTGGAGTGGACGTTAAACCCCATTTCTCTCTCTCTCTCGAACTTGGTGTTGACTGAGGAAGTTCCTAAGTATTTTCCAAATTGTTTTCCCCCTGGTCAGGTGTTCCGGAAAGAGGTCCTTGCATTCGTAGTTGAGAGACACCCAATATCGCAGAATTAAATCCTGTCACAGTTCTGCCAGTCTCGAAAACAAGTGTTGCGTAATGAAATGTTTCAGCTGTGCTGATTGGTCGAGCTACACTGTAACCCAGATATAATTTAATCGTGTGTATTTAACACAACTTTCTTTCGAATTCATTTAATATCAAATCTTTGTTTAAAAATTCGTAAAAATTGTTTGTACTTGTGTCCAGTTTAAAGCTGACCATTCAATTTGATAATGAGTGTCCAATTTACAAGCGTTTAATTTCTCGATCACTGTTAAAAAAATAAACATCTCAATTGATTATTGATGTATAATGATTATTTTTTGAACAGTGGTCAGGAAAGTAAATGCAAATTAGATGATTTTTTTGTGATTTAAAATGATTTTTACAAGTTTTTAAACAAAGATTTGATATTAAAAAGTGAAATAAATTAGTGCCAGATACACAAGATTAAATGATACCTGGGTTACAGTGTTGAGTTGAATTGTCGACCAAAATTCTTCTATTTACTCGATTGACACCTTTTGAGCGTTTGAGAGAATTCAATTCTGGAATGTTCAGTCGAGTATTCGCCTACCACTATATAGTGCCTGGCAGCCACTGGTTATTCATTAAAATAAATCTATTTTTACAGAAATTGCAGAAATGTCTATACATGACTCATCGTCTGATTCTGATTTTGATTCTGCTATATATGATGTCATAATGGGTAAACCTAAAAAAAATGGCCGTCTGCAATCACAAGACGAAGTGGATCATATTGATACAGGACAAGACAGGTACTGGTATATTCAAGAGTTAGCCTCGCTCCTCCATTTTTAACTTAAATCATTAAATGACCAAATCGCTCTGATCTAGAAAAAATCTTGAGCATCCGATGGCATCGAGGGTTGATTATGGTCTTGACAAGATGTGTGCACAGTGGTAATTAACCAGGGCACTGGTATAATCGGGCCCTAGCCTCGCTTTCCCATTTTTAAATTAAATTTTTAAATGGCAAATCGTTTGAATCTAGTTAAAATCTCGAGTATCCGATGCCATCGAGAGTCGATTATGGTCTTGTTTTGTTAATAAATATCTAATTAATAATTTATATAACATTTCAGGCCTGAAGAAAGGCCTGCAATAGGCAGATTTAGCTCTTACATAATGTATGTTTAAGTTGACTGGCGTGGTGTCGATTCTCAGCTTCTATATAACAGGGAATAGGGTCGCCTGTCTAACCTCATGGGCCTTATTTGGTCATCCAATTCTTCCAGCTCCTATAATCCCCTCTGTGCCAGCAAAATATGGAGATAAAATTAAACCATATATTAATCCCAAAACCCCATTTCTCTTTCAGTCTTTCTGGGTTCTACCAAAGCAATCAACTGAGGAAGAGTCCATTATTTATGGAAAACCATTTAATTTTTAGAGTAATTTGATAGTTCACAATATTCAATTTTATTTTATTTTATTTTTTTTATTAGAGACAAGTTACCAACTGCTTCTAAAGGAAAAGTTTTGTTAAAATCAGTAGATGATTTTTATTTTTACGTAACTGAAGGTAATTTCAAATTTTATAACTCTTTTTTTAAATGTGGTCACAATTTGTTATGAACAATCTACCAATCTGATTACAATACAGATCTATTTTCCGTTTTATTTTTTTTTTATATTTTCGATGGCCTCTACTACATAAAGATCTGACCGGTTGTAGTGGAAGGTCATGTCAGGGGTCATTTAAGCGACTTTTGATCCTATGACGTCATACATTTGATTAACCAATCAGCGTTGATATTTCTAGTGGGTTACCCATAATTTGGTGAACCTCACACCAAAAACTTGCCGTAACTCTCTCTCTCTCTCTCTCTCTCTCTTTCCCTCTAATTTGTCATTCGGCTTTAAAAAAAAATTGTTGCTAATGTTAAAATGCTTTAAATTATATTTTAGATAATACATATGAAGTTGATCTGGTCAAGGGTACAAATGGTTTAGGTTTTAGTATTCAAGGTGGCGTAGATGTACATCCAACGGATCCAGCCCAGTGTGTACCCCGCGTTAAAAAAGTCTTTATGTTAGGACCAGCGGCCGAATCTCAGGTCATAAGGGCTGGTGATGTCATATTACAAGTACAAGATACACAACTTAGAGGACTCACCAGAAACGTAAGTAGATAATTTATAGAGGGAAGGGGAGAGAGGGAGGGAAATAGTTAGAGAGACAGGGAAAGAGAGAGGGGGGGAATGGAGAGAGGGAAAATAGAGAGATAGGGAAAGAGAGATAGAGAGTGAGAGACAGAAGAAAATGAAATGAAATGGGGTTTGCCATCCTACTGTTCTACCCTGGTCTAAAGAACATGAACATACCCAATATAGTGTGGGATGAGGGAATTTGGCATGGACAGCAGCATTTCTCTGACTACTCATCAGCGATTTCCAACTCCAACTATTAAAGTCGGGTTAGTCCTGAAATGACCTAGTTTGCCTATCTCTCTCTGTGTGTCTCTCTCTCTGTCTCTTCGCACATCACTATAGTCAAACCAGACATGGCCCAAGTAAAAACTAATGAAATCATAAACTTTTCGTCTTGTATTTGTAGGAGATAATTGAAATGATGCATACGACACCTAAAGAAGTTAAGCTGATTATGTGTCGACCTGATTCTGGTATTTTACCTCCAATAATGCGTGGCGTAAGTTATATAAATTACATCAGATTTAATAAACCATATAGTAATAATAACCAAAGGTCGCAGTTTCCAGTTGTGTAAAAATACGCAGACATTCCAAAATTATCCGTTTTTGCACTCTACATTTTCGTGACTTAGAGACTCAAAATACTCAATAGAATCAAGTAAAATCGTTACGTGATAAAATCTTTTTTTAAGCGTCATTATTTTGTTGATACTGTATTTAGTCTAATGACGACTGGAGGTTAACGGCACAGTCACTTGGACAGGATGTAATGATATCTGGGTTACAGTCTAATGAGCAAACTATATCTCCGTGAAAGCCAATATTTGATTGGCTGAATGTAAACAGTTTATCCTGTACTAGCCAATCCAAAGTCTTGTATGAAATATGTGTAATTGCAGCAAATGAGGGGGTGTCTCAGAATAGCCACGTATAGAAGGCTTACTGCCATGAACATAAATTACGTTACTTACTACCAAAAAGCCATGGCACAATCGTAAGCTAGCAGACAACTAATCGAGACATAGAAAACTTATCCAGCCTTTTTATTGGCATAATAGTGTAGTTGTCGAATGTCTGGATATAAAAACCTAAATGTAAATGCCACATGAAGCACATAGATTGATGACTACAACAAAGATATAATAGAATAATTGTATCGGTTATCTAAACATGATCTAATTATTCTCATGTAAATTTTCTGCATGTACATTACGTAGCATCCGTCAATATTTGCAGTGGTTGTAACTGTTAGGTTAGTTAGCCATGGATATAACTGATAGGGTAGTTACTCTGGTTTATAACTCATAGTGTAGTAATCCATGATTTATAATTCATAGGGTAGTAATCCATGGTTTATAACTGATAGGATAGTTAGCCCTGGTTATAACTCATAGTGTAGTAATCCATGGTTTATAATTCATAAGATAGTTAGCCCTGGTTATAACTCATAAGATATTTAGCCCTGGTTATAACTCATAAGATAGTTAGCCCTGGTTATAACTCATAAGATAGTTAGCCCTGGTTATAACTCATTAGATATTTAGGGTAGTAATCCATGTTTATCATTATGCATAGAGTAATAATCTCTGATTATAAACCATGCAGTCCTCACCAGTTGACTCAGTGACAGACCTTATAATACAAGGTGCACACGCTAACCATTTGCCCCCCCCCCCCCATGAGGTTGTACAGGCGACCCTACTCTTTGTCACGTACAACCGAGGAATCGAAACCAGGCCAGTTGACTCAGTGACAGACCTTATAATACAAGGTGCACACGCTACCATTTGGCCCCCCCCCCCATGAGGTTGTACAGGCGACCCTACTCTTTGTCACGTACAACCGAGGAATCGAAACCAGGCCAGTTTACTCAATGACAGAACTTATGATACAATGTGCACATGCTAACCATTCATCCATCCAACCCCCCAAACAAGCCATAGAATGATGATTAGTGGCTTTCAACAAATCGTCTGTAAATAGATTTTACCTTTGTCTTTCAGGACAGCGTTGATTCATTGGAAGCTCTACTCCACTCACCTCAAACTCTTCTTTCTGCGTCCATGTTCCTGGATAATCAGGACTCATTATCGGAGTCAGATGACGAAACAATCCAGTCAGACAGAAGTTCTCCTCCGATACCAATCGTTAACAGAATACAAAACCACCCAAATGATCTGGTCTATTCCCCGAACAATCAAACTCTTAATTCCACGACTCCAGTTTTGCGGAGATCTTGGACTGATCAAAATATTGTGGTTCTTTCATCGGAGTTGTCTTCCCGGGATAGTTCTGGAATTTTACTGCGATCGCAGAGTGAACAAAATGCTCTGTCTCCAAATACATCTACATCTCCGATAGCAGCCGACACAAAGAAATATTTTCGCGAGGAGAAGAAATCCGATCAAGTATCCTCGGCTGTTAGATCTCCCTATGGTAACTTCGAAAATTTAGCGATGTTAGGATGGTCAGATGATCAAGCAGCACAGGATACTTCAGACGCGGGAAGTGCATGGTCAGACGATGAACCTGTTACCAGGGAAACGCTACAAAGTATTCCTAATAATGAGACCGATTCCTACAGATCGCCAAAAATCGAACCAAGAAACAGTACACTATTATCAGACATACACGAGATTGATTTGTTGGAGGGAAATTCTCAGGAAGTGAAAAACGAAAGTAGAAAACAGTTATCTCCCCTTTTCCACTCGTCAGCTAGCGATCCAATTATAGTAAATAATAGAGAACAAGACGTTCGGGACAAAATGTCAATATGTAGTTTATCGCCTGTTAATAGTCCAAGGGAAGCAACTCTTGATGGCTCCAAACAAGGGGAGACTACTTTAAATAACTTTACATTTAGTTCTTATTCTGTGGACCAATATAAAAGGGACAATGAAAGTTCAGAAGATGAAAACCAAAGGGTGGTAACTCCTGAAGCATCTCGCAAAGGGGAGATAACTGTGAGTAGAAACAATTCTGATACTAACTCTGAGTCAAGTATTACAAATAAGACAACTGTGAAATCAAATATTCCTCCGTATTTAAGGCGTCAGGATAAAGTACAGGTGATGAGTGACGACGAACAGTTAAATGTGAATAGTGACGTAGAAAACAATAAACAAACTGTGAATTGTCGTGATAATAAAGTTCATGATAAAGATCTGTCTGTATGTGAAGATGACGTACACCCTCAAGTTAGTATAATCTTATTATTTATACTACCAATCTCGGCTCTCAGAGAAAAGTTAACTGTTCATTTCTCTCCGGGGAATCACGCCAGCCATTAATCAGTCTGAGATCGGTTCCTAAGCTCCTCCCCCAGTGGCTACTGATTGGCTGAATTTTTTTGAATGAAATACTGCCGATTTCTCGACTATTTGGCATATGTTCGTCACATGAGTTGCATGGAGGTCTTTCTTTAGGCCTGAAATGTTATCTAAATTATTTATTAGACATTTATTAACCTATCCAGACCATTATTAACCCTCGATGTCATCACTAGCCTGCGATATTTACTGGATTAGGATCCCATTTGCTGCTCAACTTTCATTCAGGATTTAATCATGAAATGGATAATCGAGACCATGTTTTTTATCCTACTGACTTTAGTAATGATGATCGTAGCTAGGCCAAAAATTCAATATCTAAAATCTTGGTTTAGATTTGATCAATTTGACTGGAATTTTCAGCATATTCCCTTTACATTATCTAGTTTTTAACTATAATAGTAATTATCTAATCTCCCATAATCTACCTTCTTTGATTGGCATTTAGTAATTGAACATATTAACACAAGGAACAATTTTATGGATACACAATTACTATGTTTAAAACTAAGCGACGTTTCTACGAGGATACTCTCATCTGTATCAAGCAAATGATACAGGTATGTGAACGTGGGCAAATATATACAGAATATGCAACAAAGATAACAATCAAATGCAATTAAAGCTTAACACCTTTGATTAGGGGGCCATTAGGAACTAAGCCAACACAACAGAAATCTCTTACAGGGATTGAAAGGAGGTGAATGCTTTATTTATAAAGATCAGTGTATTAACACTGTTAATGGAAAACCAATAAACCTGAGCTATAGATAAACAATATATAATATAATATAATGTATCTTTAATTGTTAATCAAGCCTTTAGTAACTGGATAGAGCAATACTGAATAAACTATAACACATGCTTATGGAAGAACAATTACTAATTTATTTGGCCGATGTTTCAAAGAGTTTTCTCTCAAAGTTTTAAATCAAGTTTATTGTTATTTACAGGATTTTGAAGTAACATTAAGAAAGCGTGATGGTGGTGGTTTAGGGTTTGCTGTAGCAGGAAGTGGTCAATCAATGACAGGATGTTATATTAAAGATGTTTTACAGGATCCTGCTCTTTCTGATGGTAGATTACAACCAGGTGATCAACTTATTGAGGTCAGTATCTCTAGATGGAGGGGGGTTGGAGGCCGAATGGTTAGCGCGTGCGCGCGCTGTATCATAAAGTCTTGTCATTGAGTCAACTGGTGTGGTTTCGAATCCCCGGTTGTACGTGGCAAGGAGTAGGGTCACCTGCACAACCTCGTGGGTTTTCTCCGGGGCCTCCGGTTTCCTCCCACTGCTAAAGACCCCTACGCGCAAGCGAATTATGTAAATAAAATTAAACCATATGTTAGTCCTGAAATGACCTAGTTTGTGTCGAGTGGACGTTAAACCCCATTTCTCTCTCTCTAGATGAAGGGGGGATGGACGGCCGAATGGTAAGCACGTGCGCGCTGTATCATAAAGCCTGTCATTGAGTCAACTGGCGTGGTTTCGAATCCCTGGTTGTACGTGACAAGGAGTAGGGTCGCCTGTCCAACCTCATGGGTTTTCTCCGGGTCCTCCGGTTTCCTCCCACTGCTAAAGACCCCTACGCGCAAGCGAATTGTTGAATTAAAATTAAACCATATGTTAGTCCCGAAGGACGTTAAACCCCATTTCTCTCTCTCTCTCTCTCTCTCTCTATATATTTCTCTATTGTGTTAGTTTGTTTTACAGGTTAATGGTGAGTGTATGTTGAATATGAATCATTTCGAGGCTGTGACCTTGTTACGCCAGGCTCCGACCTTGGTGAGAATAAAAGCCAGACGACCCAGCGGTAACTCCCCACAGAATCCTCGTGTAGCAGGATCTGTTCAAACTAAGACAACTGGTGCCATGAAAAATCAACAATTGTCACAGGTGAGACCAGTTTCTTGTTTTATAAAGTGTTTTTATCTATCTTGGAATATTCACAGACAAAAAAGCGACAGGGGCTAATTGGGTAAGACATTGGCTTGTTTGCCTGGAGATCGCGGGTCGATCCTGGTGTAGGCCAAGAAAGTTCATCAGGATTTTCTGACGTAGTTTCCCGTTGTCATTGTTACAGGATGGAGGGCCTGACGAGGACAGCTGTCTAGTCATTCGGATGGAACAAAAAACACCCAAGGTCCCGTGTACACATTAATCGGTGTGCTCGTAAAAGATCCTTTGGCAGTTGGAATTCGATAGAGGAGTAGGCCATAGTGCCTTTGCCCGGGCAAAATTTCCTGTCTTCGTTAGCCCAGTTGGAGCAGAACAGTAGGACGTTAAATCCCATTTCATTTATGTATTTGGTTTGTGTCAGTTTTGAAATAAAAAATTGTATTGGCATGCTCGTAAAAGATCCCTTGGCAGTTGGAATTCGATATAGGAGTAGGCCGAAGTGCCGCTGTCTTGGCAAAATTTCCCTCGATAGCCCAGTCGGAGCAGAACAGTAGGACGTTAAACCCTTTTTCATTTCATTTATAGATGCAGAAAATTAGGACGCTAAATCCCATTTCATTTATATATTTGGTTTGTGTCAGTTTTGAAATAAAATAAAAAAAGTGTTTGTGTTTTCATGAGTTAAGCCCCCTGTTTTTAAATGATGTTGATTATGATGATTATTTATCACTAGCCTATAGATAAGAATGAAGTTGATGAAGTTGGTGAAGGACGTAGAAAAGAGAGAGTACAGGATATAGAAACTATTAAGATGGGAGTTAAAGATATGATCAAATCTCTAGAAAATAGAAAAATATCTTTAACACCAGGCGATAGTGATACAGATAGTAGATCGTCAGATAAATCAGAGGTTAGTTATTGTTCATTTTAAGTTAATTTATGAAAACTAACGCCACATCCAGTCTTTTTATACGCCCACATTGAAATGTGGTCGTATATTGTCGTCACCACCGTCCGTCCGGACGCTCTAGGGGCTAAAGTTAATATCCGATTGACTTTAAATTTATACACAGTGTTTAAGGTCATGAGACGAAGAAGCCTATTGATATTCAGCGATTTCCGATAATTACTGCCAGAGTTATGGCCCTTGATCACTTCAAAAAATCTTGATGACGCTCTAAAGGCTAAAGTTAATATCCGATTTACTTTAAATTTATACACAGTGTTTAAGGTCATGAGACGAAGAAGCCTATTGATTTTCAGCGATTTCCGATAATTACTGCCAGAGTTATGGCCCTTGATCACTTCAAAAAATCTAGAGGCTGACGTTAAATTTATACACAGTGTTTAAGGTCATGAGACAAAGAAGCCTATTGATTTTCAGGGATTTCAGATAATTACTGCCAGAGTTATGGCCCTTGATCACTTCAAAAAATCTTGTGGACGTTCTAGAGGTCAAAGTTAATATCCAATTGACTTTAAATTTATGCACAGTGTTTAAGGTCATGAGACGAAGAAGCCTATTGATTTTCAGCGATTTCTGATAATTACAGCTAGAGTTATGGCCCTTGATCACTTCGAAAAATCTTGTGGACGCTCTAGAGGGTAAAGTTATTATCTGATTGACTTTAAATTTATACACAGTGTTTAAGGTCATGAGACGAAGAATCTGATTGATTTTCAGCGATTTCCGATAATTTTTGCCAAAAATCTTGAGGACGCTCTAGAGGCTAAAGTTAATATCCGATTGATTTTAAATTTATACACAGTGTTTAAGGTCTTGAGACGAACAAGTATATTGATTTTCAATGAATCTTTATGACTTGAACAGCTAAATCCATGATGTTAAAAGTTTCGTATACTAAACGTTAGCATGGGGCAGAACTTTATGAAAACCGAACAAATTCTAATGGTTTTCTGATAATTACTTAATGAGTTGTTACTCTTAATCAGATTTTAATGTATTATAAATGTTTCATTACAGAAAAAGTAAAAATATGCGACAACTCTTGTTGACTGCCCGGACGATATAGCTGCTGTGGGCGTATGTTTCGTTGCCTGGCAACCTATCTTTAAAGATGCCTTCCCGTGTATAATAAGCCATGTGATTTGATGATGTATTTGGACTAAAAATATATTTATCTATATAATTTATCTATAAATAGTTTGCTTCAAATCCACCTCAACACACTGTAATCAGAATTATCCTACATGTTTGTTACATGACTTAATTGAGGGAGAATCCATTAGGACTGTTTGGAGAATAGTGATTGTTATTGCTACCTTTGTTAAGCGCCAATCGCCTTTAAATTTGTTGAAAGTCAAGATGGTCTAATGGCATAGAGAGTCTTTGTGGCTGCCCTAGAGTCACTCGTCTCTACTGGGAGTTTCAAAACACAATTGAATCAATCAATAGTCGTACCAGTTATCAATAGTTTATTCACCTTGGTAATTAGGAGTAGGAGTAGGAGATAACAATCGTTGACAACTTTGTGGGATAAACAAACAAAAAATATACATGAAGATTCCAAGCTAGATCACCCTGAGCACATGGCTGCCTCAACAGACTCTAGAGTGATCTCCTCTTAGTTCTCAATTTTACTGAACTACGGGAGGTAACTCCATTTAAGAACCCATTCCCAGGGATCAGACCAATTTATAACTTCACTGCAAATTGCCGCAGTGACAGTCTTGTTTGTCTTGTTTTGTTAATAAATGACTAATTGATAATTTAGATAACATTTAAGGCCTAAAGAAAGACCTGCAATAGGCCGATTTATCTGTTGAATAATGTATGTTTAAACCTGTTTATATTACAGGGTGGTATTATACGTATTAAATTATCTAAGTGTATAGATGAAGGATATGGTTTTAGTTTAATAACAGCTGATCGTGGTAATACAACTGGTGTTTATGTTAAAACTATAAAAGGGGGAGGTGTAGCGTATAAAGATGGACGATTACAAGTTGGTGATAGATTAATTCAGGTAAATTTCTTTTCGTAATTAACCCAAGGCTCGTATTAGAGAGTTCAAATTTAATCGACATGTGAACGATCGGAAACAACAAAACGGAAGTATCTAAGAGAGACAGATTGCCCACACCACAGGCGTCTGTAACATGGTAAATATTTGAAAAATAACATTAAGTATATGTCTAAAGTCTGTTACATCCATGTTCACCACTCTAGATTCCGTCAACCAGTGGCAATACTCACTAATTTTCACTAGGTATACAGTCGAGTCTATGATGACGTTTAAAAATTGTCCACGTGACCCTGTGACTTAAAGAGGGTCATGTGGATAATTTTAAAAACACACCGAAGACTCAATTGTTTACCTAGCAAAATCTAGAGTGGTGAACTTTGATCCCAATTATTTAATTCCAACCCGTTTCTCACCTTGGTATTATTATATCAGATGAGTTATTTGCCCCTGTGTGATTGGAATCAGACCAGTTATTTGATAATCTCGCTTACGAACATGGACATAACAGACTTTAGACATATACTTAGCTTAGTCATATTTTTGAAATATTTTCCATGTTACAGGTGCCTGTGTCCCACACTGACAGTCTGACTACTCTGTGTGAGGTTGAGGGGGGTTGGATGGCTGAATGGTTAGCGCTGTATCATAAGGTCTGTCATTGAGTCAGCTCGCGTGGTTTCGAATCCTTGGTTGTACGTGACAAGGAGTAGGGTCGCCTGTTCAACCTTGTGGGTTTTCTCTGGGTCCTCCCACTGCTAAAGACCCCTATGCACAAGTGATTTATTAAAAGATTTGGCAAGGGACAACGTATAGCCGTTCGGACGGGACGAAAACCAAAAACCAAGGTACCTTGGCGTGCATATAAAATATCCCTTGAAAGTTGGAATTCAATCTAAGAGTAGGCCATGGCGTCGCTATCCAGACAAAATTTCCCTCATAGCACACTGTATGGCATATGCCCATCTTCATTAGCCCAGTAGAGACAGAACAGTAGGACTTTAAACCCCATTTCATTTATTTCATTGTCACCAGGTAGCTTGTATATATTACAGGTGAATGATGAATCGGTTATTGGTTTAAATCATAGTAAAGTCATCTCCATGTTACGAGACACGCGACAACAAGTTCAATTAACAGTAGCAAGGTAACCTATCGTCATTCTAAATATTCTCTTTATCAAGTAATATTGAAATCCCAACACTGGTTGTTATCAAACAATGACTGAAACATTGCAGTTAATAAAGCTGTCTTTTATTATCACTGGAACTCGGGTATCATTTAATTGTGTGTATTTAGCATTAATTTCGATGGCCTACAATACATGACCAGTTGTACTGGGAGGTCGTTTCAGGGGTCATATGAGTGGCTTTTGACCCTATGACGTCAGACATTGATTAATCAGCGTTAACGCTTCTAGCGGTTTACCCACAATTCTGTACGTCACCTACCAAGAAGTCATGTAACAGACCGTTTCATTAGCTAATCCCTCACATCAACTAGAACGCTTGTTATATAACAACTCTTCCAGATCCTAGTGTTGTGAAGACAAGAAAAACAAAATTTTGAACTATAAAAACGAAACGAAATAGGATCTGTGTTTTAATAAGATAGTTCATTCGTTGTTTATTCAGTAATTGTTGGTTGTGTTGTTCTGTGATCTCGTTTTATCTTTAAACATACATTATGCAAGAGCTAAATCTGCCTATTGCAGGTCTTTCTTTAGGACTAAATGTTATATAAATTATTAATTAGACATTAACTTATCCAGACCATAATCAACTCTAGATATCATCGCTAGCCTGTGATATTTACTGGATTATGATCCCATTTGCTGCTCGACTTCCAGTCATAATTTAATCATGAAATGGATGATCCAGACTTGTTTTGTATCGTACTGACTTTAGTAATGATGATTGAGGCTAGGCCGAAATTTCAATCGCTTATTTCTCGGTTCATAGTGGATCAATTTGACTGAAATTTTCAGCAAATTGCCTTTATATTATCTAGTTTTTAACTATTATAGTGAGAACTGCCAGCTCTTTATCTAATCTCCCATAATGTATCATTAAAATAGATCTGGTAGACTTTCAAACTTGGAAGAGGTTACCAAGGACAGCCAAAGTCAGACGTCAAAACCAGCCAATGAGGAAGATTCTTTTACACGGTTGATAGATCCAGCCAATGAAACAGACGAAGACATAAATGCCATGGCAGGGGACGCCAAATACTTTCTCAAACAAAATGGCAATTTAAACTCTTCTAATATTTCTCTTCTTACGCCGAGAGACGCATCACATGATGTGGATATTATAAATTATAAATCACCGCGTAAAATACCCATAGCAGTACCAGAGGCTCTGACAGACGATTGGTTAGAATCTATTCCTGTGCTGTCAATCAGTGAGGATGGGGAGGACTTTATAAGTGATGTTCTTCATTTATTGGTTGAAAAAGTAGAGCAGGAGGAGCCTTATGAAGAATTTAAGGTATTTGATCTTTGAGTGGCTTTTAATTCAAAGTTTTGCTCAGTCTTCATTATCCCGGTCTGTACAGAAAAGTAGGACTTCATTAAACCGCATTTAAATTCCAAATTTTGTTTGCTGATCAATTTTGGACATTTTTGTCGACTTCCAATCAACAAGATATTGTTTTTGCCATTCTTTTTATGTTTTAATGTCTTTTTACTGTAAATTTAATTGTATAATATTTTGAGGTTAAATTGTTCGAAACAATGTACGTAATTTTATTTCATGAATAGTGACTGCAACGTAAATTCTCTGGGAAGTCAATTTCACTGCCAGACGTGGAGTGAAGACTGCAAAAGAGTTCTAGATTGATTCCACTTATTTTCTGATATCTATTGGAAAAAAAACGAGTTTCAAAGTGACTTTCATTAATTTTAAGGAGGTTTTGTAATCAGACTTTCCTATTTTGCAATAATACAGGAGGAAAGCGGTGGGGGTGTGGGAGGGGGAGTCGCAGTAGAGGAAAAATTAGGGAACTTGAGCATCCACTAGGGCCCGAACCCATCTTTATTGGCCCAGTCAGAGTAGAATAGTAGCACATTGAACCCCATTTCATTATGTTAGTCCAAAAATGACCTAGTTTGTGTCGAGTGGAGTTACACCCTCTCACAGGTGGTGGGTTTAAAGAGTGTACATGAAATCACAAGGTCCTCATTCAGTTAAATGGCGTAAATCCCCGATTTGCCAGGATCTTTCTTGTTAAGCTCAAGGATTGAACTTTAGTTCTCTTGTTTAGTGATCCATGTAAAACTCACTGAACCATCAAACCCATTTATTGAAAATGATCCCAACCTGGAATCACATCAGATTATTTTATTATTTTAGAATTTACGACTAATAAAAGCAACAGATGAATGTTTAACTGCCAGTCTTCCAAAAAATAAATTAAAAAACAGATATAGAAACGTTCTTCCATGTGAGTTTCAAGTTTTAATTTACTTTTAAAATGATGACTGCCTTAATTTCTCATTGTGACAGAGCGTTATCTCGGTCTGCGATCCCGTCCTCTGAATAAACTACTAATGCCAGTCAAAGAAACAAACTCATAGGGTTTGACACAGCCACTCGGCATCAATAAGCAGACCTATTTGGAAATTAGACATTATTATATTGTATCTTTTTGAGAGAAATGTTTCCCATGGAACGTATTTTCTCATGTCTTGTAATATCTGGCCTCAAGTTCACAAAGCATTCTCAGACTTCATTTAAGAATTTACTCTACCAGTTTCAATCACTGTTTTTGAGAAATATCTTTTGATTCAGAAACACAAAACTTTGCACATAGTTTCTTATTGATGTATTTGATACATTAAAACAACAAAAGTTTTATAAAGGGCTTTAATTTAGTTAATATAAGACAAACAATTTTGAGTTAATTCTTAATTTGGAGAATGCCTTGTGAACTTGGAGTCTGGGCTTAACAGAACGACTCTGCAACCCTCAACATACCTTTTGAAAATTAAACAATATTTTATTATGTGTTCTTTTGAAAGTAAAGTTTCCCACCATTTCCTGTATTCTAGAATCTATTTATTAATTTATATGTTATATTATATCAGATGACTGTAATCATGTTATAATATATCAGATGACTGTAATCATGTTATAATATATCAGAGGACTGTAATCATGTTATATCAGATGACTGTAATCATGTTATATCAGATGACTGTAATCATGTTATGTTATCTCAGATGACTGTAATTATGTTATATCATTTCAGATGATTGTAATTATGTTATATTATTTCAGATGACTGTAATTATGTTATATTATCTCAGATGACTGTAATCATGTTATATTATTTCAGATGACTGTAATCATGTTATATTATTTCAGATGATTGTAATCATGTTATATCATTTCGGATGATTGTAATTATGTTATATTATTTCAGATGACTGTAATCATGTTATATTATTTCAGATGACTGTAATCGTGTCATGTTAAATGGTACAGATGATTATATAAACGCTAGTCATGTTAAAATAGATGTTGGTGATAGTCAGCTGTGTTATATCATGTGTCAGGGACCGCTACCCAACACGGTTGATGATTTCTGGTTGATGTGTTGGCAACAACACGTATCTGTTATCGCTATGTTAACCCTAGACATCGAAGATTTAAAAGTTAAATGTCACAAGTATTGGCCAGAATTAGAGGAAAATAATCTTAAAGTATTGAATGGGTGAGTAAAATATTTCTGAAGATTATTTCTGGCTGGTGTTCACCATATTGTCTGGTTAAATTACTAACGTTAAAATTTACCTGTTGCAGTTAATATTGACATTCTTGTTCGTGTTAAACTTATGGAAAGGATATGTTGACATAATTACTTGCATTATTTAAGTTGTTAGTCTCAAGCAAGAAATTGTGATATATTGATACACCATTAATTCCTGGCCATACAATATGTTGTCTTCATTAGCCTAGCCAGAGCAGAAAAGTAGGACTTTAAACCCTAATTTCACTTTATTTCCAATCTGATTAAAATACAGATCTAACCCCTAACCCCTAACCCAACCCTATATTTCGTTTTGTCTTTTTATTCTTTCGATGACCTACACTACATGAGGATCTGACCAGTTGTAGTGGAAGGTCGCGTCAGAGGTAATACGAGCGGCTTTTTACCCTATGACGTCACAGATATTTAATTAACCAATCATTGTTGGTGTTTCTAGTGGATTACCTACAGTTTCGCGCACCTCACAGCCAAAACGCGTCATAACAGGATCTGTGTTTTAATCAGATTGCTCCATTTCATGTTTTATTGCAGGCAATATGAAGTAAGTTGTGAATCGAAACAGAGATTAAATGATTTTATAATACGATATATAAAGATGGAAGATATGACGTCTGGAAGGATACATAGAATCGTTCACCTGAATTATACAACATGGCCGGATCATGGTACACCTGATACAGCACTACCTTTATTACAGGTAATTATTTTCTGGTGTCTCTCGTCTACCATTTCCTTTATCGTCCTGCCTTTACTGTCCTCCCTTATTAGGCCTTATAAATTACATCTCGCAATAGGGACTGACCTTTTTACTCCTGCCTTTCCTTTCTCATGCTCCATTTCTCAATAACAAGGGGGGGGGATGACCGAATGGTTAGCATGTGCACGTTGTATCATAAGGTCTTGTCTTTGATTCAACTGGCGTGGTTTCGAATCCCCAGTTGTACGTGACAAGGAGTAGGGTTGCCTGTCCAACCTCGTGGGTTCTAACCGGGTCCTCCGGTTTGATCCCACTAAGCGCAAGCGAATTATTGAAATAAAATTGAACCATATGTTAGTCCCGAAATGACCTTGTTTGTGTCAAGTGGAAGTTAAACCCCATTTCTCTCTCTCTCTCTCATGTATATATTTACAGGTAAATAATAAGGTGTGAAGGTATTTACAGGTGTGAATATCTATTGTTTGTATATATTGACAGCTGTGAAGGTATATATTTACAGGTGTGTATATATCTATTGTTTGTATATTTCAGTATTTACGATTAATACACCTGTTTCATACAGGAGGACCAGTAGTTGTACATTGTAGCGCTGGTATAGGACGATCAGGTTCACTAGTAACTATAGATACGGCTCTTTTAAACATGGAAAACATGAAACATGTAAGTTATATATCACTTGTTTATATATCACTTCTTGGTTAATGAGGTTGGGGTAGATGACAAGTATGGCACAGGTAGATGACACGTTTGACACAGGTATTACGTTAGGTGAGAGATATGGCATAGGTGTCGGGGTAGATGATACATATTGCACAGGTAGATGACATGTATGACACAGGTATCGGGGTAGATGACAGGTATGGCACAGGTAGCCTGTTTCTAACTTATCGAGGGTGATGTCTGTGTCTAAGTACCTATGCCAGTCTTAAAATAACAAAAGGCAGAGCCCTCACATAGGAAGCTTGGGGGACGGGGGGGGGGGGGGGGAGATTTCAGTATTTACGGACTGGTTTCCTTGGAGGCTGGGGTAGCGAATCACCAGCCTTCGCTTCCCGTAAACCTGTGTAAACCACATCTCTGTGTATTACCTGTATAGCAAGCTGAGGTAAACCATAGGTTCATATCTGAGTATTAACAGTATAGGAAACTGAGGTAAACCATAGGTTCATCTCTGTGTATTACCAGTATAGGAAACTGAGGTAAACCATAGGTTCATCTCTGTGTATTACCAGTATAGGAAACTGCGGTGGCTCAGTGAGTAAGACGTTGGCTCGCTAATGCTGGAGGTCTTGGGTTTGCTCTTGGTGTTGGCCGAGGGCTGGGACATCAGTATTTCATCCAATCCAAATGACTAGACAGCTGTCCTTGTCAGGCCCTCTGTCCAGCACCACTGACAAGGGGAAATCACACCCACTAATCCTGAAGAACTACCTCACAATTCCCTGTTTGGTGTAGATACATTTTTAGCCCATCTCATTTCATTTCAGTTTCAAATATATGATATTGTATCAGAAGTACGTCAACAAAGATACGGTGTTATTCAAACTAAGGTTGGTATATATTACGAAAGGTTATTACACATGGTTTACGACTGAATTAACAACATTCCATTAATAGACTTTGATGTATATGTCCTCATGCATAATCATTCCATATTTCTTTAATATATCACTTTTAAAATAAATAAAATTATAGTTCCACTGCTAATTAATAAGTTATAGTTCCACTGATAAATAATCAATTTATTATTTATCATATCACTTTTTAAAATAAATAAAATTATAGTTCCACTGCTAATTAATGATTGTTGTTATAAATCTTAATTAATGTTATGTTTTGATTGTTTTACTCATGTATGTTCTATAAATGTATGGTTGATATTGATTATTGATCACCAGGAACATAAACGATAACATTAACATGGTACATTAAAACAATCATTCCACCCTTCTGCCACGGCAGTGGCTGAACTCGGATGAGAGTCCATACGCTGGTCTCCGCTGTCCTCTGCTACTCTCCGCTCGTCTCCTACCCCGTTCTTCTCTTCCCCACTCGCCCCCCTCGTCCCCCTAACTGTCAGTAAACTGGTGGTTATAATAAACCAAGAAGTAGTAAATCTATAAAGTTGTGTTATTATGAATATATTTTATTATATATTTCAGGATCAATACATGTTCTGTTATACAGCCTGCATGCAAGCTCTTCTTAGTGTTGCTAGTTAACACACAACCTAGCCCATAGCAACCATCAACCAATCAAAAACTCTGTAATATAATAACAATGTGCCATGACATCATTAGAGTAGTTTTATTTTGGGGTTTGTTTATTTATTAGAGGATAATTTGAGTATTTATTTATTTATTTTGAAGCAATCTCATGTTTATGATTGATTGGGAGAAATTGATTTGTTTTCTGCCGTTTAGAATCAGGAACATTAGAATCAGGAACATCGTGTGAATTTAACTAAACTTGATCTCCAAGAGTTCAATTCAGGGGGGTTGGATGGCTGAATTGTTAGCGTGTACGCTCTGTATCATAAGGTCTGTTATTGAGTCAACTAGCGTGGTTTCGATTCCTCGCTTGTCCGTGACTAGGGGAAGGGTCACCTGTCCAACCTCGTGGGTTTTCTCCGGGTCCTCCGGTTTCCTCCCACTGCTAAAGACCTCTATGCGAAAGGCAATTATTGAAATAAAATTGAACCATGTTAGTCCCGAAATAACCTAGCTTGTGTCGAGTGGAAGTTAAACCCCATTTTTCTCTCCCTCAACAAGCAGGGGTAAAACGTGAAGACAACTGAATGAACAACTCAGTCTGTTTCTAATGGCCATCTTCATTAGCCCAGTCATTGCAGAACAGTAGGATGTTAAACCCCATTTCTAACAGCAAGGGAAGGATAACTCATCCATTTCTAACAGCAAGGGGAGGATAACTCCTCCATTTCTCCCATATCTTTTCTAGACATACACATTAGGGTATTTTTATGTAGAATGTCAAATTATTGGAGACATGATATTACTGTTAAATTTAAACGCTGAACAACTTATTTGGTCATGGTCGAGGTTTTAGCAGTAATTTTAGGTCAACGATAATTATAAATTTTACTCCGTGCATTTATCAATATCTATTTATTTTTGCTTATTGTAATAGTCTCGTGGTATTATAAAAACTTAGAATATCAAGCCATAATTATTTTCCTGTCAATTATAAAGTATACCATAATTATTTTACATGATTGTGTGTTGCAAATTTAATTTATTTAGTTACCATGGAAATGAAGTTGACTTTCTGTGAATTATATATAATAATCATTTTGCATTTTCTTGTGCCAAAAAAATATTTTGTTTGGTTACCATGCAAAAAAAGTTGACTTAAAAAATATACCATAATTATTTGTGCCGATAATATTATTTATTTAGTTACCATGGAAAAGAAGTTGACTTCCTGTGAATTTTACATTTGCCATAATTTTAATTAGATAATTAAAATGTTCAAAGTCTGTTCAGCATAATAGTGCCTATATCTTTATATAATATTTATAATATATTTTGTATTTCTAACTTTGTATTTTATATATCTATGACTTATTATTAAATATTTTACTTTCGATTCTAATCACCCGAAGATATTAAAAAGATATATTATTTATTTCATTGTATATTTAACTAGTTGATTTTGCTAGTATTTTTACCCAGACCGAAGATAACAATTATCAATGTGTTCATTTAAAAATCTGATATTTGAAATATTTAACAGACCTGATATTTGAAAGATCTGATATTTGAAATATTAGATATATTTGAAATTGATATTTTATTCATTTGTTGACATAATTTAGAACCCAATTCTTGTATGGTTTTTTTTATAATTTATTGTGAATTCTTTAAATATTGATTTTAATAGCAAGTCATAAATATATTAAATAATATTTTCTACAAAACTGTCTCAAGTTTTTTTCCGTCCCTTTTCCTATAATAATGTCATTGATTATCTATAGCTATATGCAATTATATAAAACATGTATTCAAATAATGATATTTTTAGTTTATTAAAAATGTTCATATATTCATCCAATGTAGCTATTGGGTTTTTTTTAACTTAAAGATACATTATGGGAGATTCGATAACGAGTTGGCAGTTCTCACTATAATAGTTAAAAACTAGATAAGGTAGAACGCATTTTGGTGAAAATTTCATTCAAATTGATTCACTATGAACCGAGAACTAAGCGACTGAAATTCCCATAAGCCTCGGTCATCATTACTAAAGTCAGTACGATAAACAGCATAGTCTCGATTATCCATTTAATCGTTTAATGAGAAGGAAAGTTATGCAGTAAATCGGCTTACAATCCACTAAAGATCACAGGCTAGCGCAACCATCTAGAGTTGATTATGGTCTCGATAAGTTAATTAATGTCTAATGAATAATTTATATAACATTTCAGGCCTAAAGAAAGACCTGAAATAGACAGATTTACCTCTTGTATAACGTAGTTTAGTTATATTCACCTGTAATAGGCAGATTTACCTCTTGTATAACGTAGTTTAGTTATATTCACCTGTAATAGGAAGATTTAGCTCTTGCATAATGTATGGTTAAAGATACATTGTCTTAAGATTTAGATAAACAGCTGGATGTTCTTGCTATATTAGATCAAAAGTAGGTTAAACGAAGTGAATGTATTGAAAATTTCATTCAAATTACTTTATTCTGAGGGAACACTATTTTAGTGATAACAGATATCAGTTTAGTAAATAAAGGATTTATTTACATGGAACAGAATATTAAAACAGCTACATCAATCAAACAGGAACTAAAACTACACCAGGAATATAAACGATAAAATTAACGTGATATATTTAGACAACCAATCCGCCCTTCTGCCACGGGAGTGGCTGAAACTCAGATGAGAGTCCATACACCGGTCTCCACTGTCCTCTGCTACTCTCCGCTCATCTCCTACCCCTCTCTTCTCCTCCCCGCTCGTCTCTCGTCTGTGTCTCTTTAATTATCGTTCATTTCTAGAGTTTTACGTCCACTTCCACCAATGGTGATATTGTAGACAAGTGTTTCCTAAGAAACTTACTAGAGAAATCCATAAGGAATAGTCTTGGTGGTTATATACCTTTCAACTGGATCTAAACACACAAGATCATTACTATATATGGTATTTACAAGTTATCTTAATTTCACTGACTGATATAAATATATACACGTAGAATTGATAGTCTTTAATTAGTGCGTACGTGTTTAGAACAAAGTGTATAATTGAAAAGCCGATATCATCTATTATCAAAACTAGCTGAATAATAATTAGCATTTTATAAAATAGAAAATTGAGCACTTTGTCACACGCAGCCTTTGAAGGTTTGACAAGATGTGTGCACTGATTGTAACCACTGTACTGGTTGTTCAAAGCTAAGTCTTGCTTCACCAGTTTTAGATTAAATCATTATATGACTGCACTGTTCTAATCTGTTTAAGATAGGACCTATCCGATGATATCGAGAGTTGATTATGGGCTTGATAAGTTAATTAATGCCTAATTAATAATTTAGATAACATTTAGCTCTTGCATAATGCATGTTATATATTTCACTAGGTATATCACGTGACTATCGTTAAAATATCAAATTTCTCACGGCTTAATACACCTAGATATGTACTCAGATTAATTATTTAACATTTAATTAAGAATACAAAAGGTGTTGAGTAATTAACAGACTAATTAATTAATCAACATGGCTCTATAAACTAAAAAGTGATAAACCCAACACTAGGTTGGGATGGCCTAGTGGTTTAGAGTGTCACGTTTTGACCTCTAGCTGACCGGTCACCTCTGGCTTGCATTTGTGGTTTCGACGCCTTCTCAACCTCGTGGGTTTATTCCGGGTACTCCGGTTTCCTCCCACAGGAAAGGCGCGTGCGCTAAGATAATGAAAAACAAAAAAAAATAAAAGACAACTTCGGTGGAAGCTGACGTTAAACACTAAGAACAACAACAACAAATTATCTAATCTAGACAGACCCTTTTTAAACTACACAACAGTAGAAACCAAATGTTTTTTTTATAATTCTTAATGAATTTGATCAGTTTTCCAACAGTGGCTTGAAACTGGGCATACAGTGTGCTATGAGGGAAATTTTGCCCGGACAGCGGCACTACGGCCTACTCTTATATCGAATTCCAACTGTCAAGGGATCTTTTACGTGCACAGGGGACCTCGGTTTTTCGTCCCATCCGAACGACTAGACAGCTGTCCTTGTCAGGCCCTCCTGCATCACTGACAAGGGGGGACCACGCCGGAAAATTTGGATGAACTTTCTCGACCAATGCAGGGATCGAACACCCGACCTACAGGCTAGCGAGCTGGTTTGAAACTAAACAGTAAAAACAGAAACTCCTGCTAAAACAAACCAACTAAATAATACTTGAGTTTTAGTGAGTATAGATCAATGAAATTTCAATTGATCATATTTTTTTAAATTCTGAACGGAATTAAACGATTAGTTGACTGATATTCCTATGAGAGCTTCATCTTTCACGATATTGCAGTCGGCAAGGAATTCCCATAGCTATAAATGATGCATCGAGCCTTTATTGGGTTCCACAGTAGCTAACGACGAATTTCTGGATTTCATCCTGGTGTTGAAGACCCCTTGATAGTTGGAAATTAAAATAATAGACAGCAGTACCACTGTCTGGGCAAAATGTCCCTCATATCATTTCACTTTAAACTATTGCCAGCCGGTGAATTTTTTGTTAAATGTTTTTTTTTGTCTTGCATGTCTTAAGCCCGGCTCAGATCGACCTTGCGACGCGACACAACTGTCGGCGACTATCGTAAATTGCACTCAGATCGAATTCAGCAATGATCGCCGACCAGTTGCTATCGGTCGTACGATTGAACGCGAGCGCGCTCACATCGACACCGATACACCGACTTGTGGCGTCCTCACGAATAGATCATGTGACTCGTTCAAAATGGCGCCACACAGAATGCAGGTACGCGCACACAAATTTTCCTCATAAAAATACAAAATATGCCTAAAATGTTACTATAAGCGGGATTCGAACCCAACCACGCAGTAACGCGACGAGCTTTCGTGTTTTAATCGTTTAAGTTGCGTTTTTAACTGCTTCTACCAGATCTATTGAGCTCTTTAGCCATTTCATCTATTGCCTTTCTTTTTTTGTCCCTATCGGAGTACTCTTTTGATGATATTTTATAGAGGCATGGTCTCTCTTCCCACATAACAATCAGGCTTTCTTCTTCTTCGGTCTTCCATGAGGTCGCCATGTTGATTTTTCATTCGCCGCTCTGATTGGCTAGAATTATAGCGCAGTCGGCAACCGATCGTAGAAACGCACACATCGACGATGACGAGTCGGCGACTGGTTCCGTCACGTCGTAGAAGTAGAACATGTTCAACTCCTGCGACTCAGTCGCCGTTCGTGAAAAACTGTCGCACGACGGTCGTAGCTAGACTCAGATCGACTAGAATCGGCGACGGAAATTGTGCGACGATCGGCGGCAGTCGCCGGAAAACCAGTCGGCGACCAGTTGAGTCGCGTCGTAAGGTCGATCTGAGCCCCCCTTTATAATCTTATTCATGTATTTATCACTGAAATATATCATTCTGTTGCAAGCAAGGGGGGTGGATGGCCAAATGGTTAGCGCGTTATATCATAAGGTTTGTTATTAAGTCAACTGGCGTGGTTTCGATTCCCCGGTTGTACGTGACAAGCAATAGGGTCGCCCGTCCAACCTCGTGGGGTTTTTTTCCGGGCCAAATGGCTAGCGCATGCGCGTTGTATCATAAGGTCTGCCATTGGGTCAACTGGCGTGGTTTCTATTCCCTGGCTGTACGTGACAAGGAGTAGGGTTGCCTTAAAAGCTCGTGGGTTTTCCCCGGGTACTCCAGTTTCTGCTAAGGACCCCCTGTGCGCAAGTGAATTATTGAAATAAAACTGAACCATATGTTAGTCCCGAAATGACCTAGTTTGTGTCGAGTGGACGTTAAACCACATTTATCTCTCATTCTGCATATTTCATCCAAGGTCAAGAGGTGTAAACTGGGTTTAGAGCACGTGATTGTTGCCGAGGATTGTGGGTTAGGGTTAGTGTTAGGCGTAGGGTTAGGTCTTGGTTAGTGTTAGCTCTAGCCCTGTTTACATCTCGTGACCTTGAGGAAATTATGCGTTTGACCTTGTCAAATAAATCTAACCCATTATATACACACAGAGATCTATGTAGGCTACTTCATTCCTCGAGAATAGATCTCTGTCCTAAATGGCCACCAAATTGTAAAATGAGAAAACTGTTTTGTTATGCGGTTCTACTCAGTTTCACACCTGTAGAAGACCGTTTCACACCTGTAGAAGACTGGTAAATAAATAAAAGACAAAATAAATATGGTCATTAAAATTTATACTTTTTTCACTTCAGCAACTGTTGCATATAGGCCTACACGTTGGTGAAGTTTTTTAAGTATGGGTCACTGCTTCAAATTCAAATGAATAAAAAATACTTTAGATTTTAAAACTGCACATCTATTGAAAAGTATAATATTACTGAAGATCACATTTGTATTGTAAGTTTTCAGTGTTTTTCATGTCCGCTGTGTTTCGAAAATTTGACAGAAACGCATGTTTTTGTAATTTAGTCATAACTCCCTTAATACACTGTCTATTTGTATAATTCAACTAACAAAATTTATTAAAGGACGTGTTTTATCAGCATGCATTTATATCCTTTCCAAAGCAAGTTACAGAAAATATATTAATTTGAGTTTCAAAATACAATTTATAGAAGTAAGAGAGCACAACGCAATAAAATGGCTATTTTTGGGACATATTTATTGCTGTAACCCAACAACGAACATATATAATGACTTGGAATTTGGTGTTGATTAGGAGAAGACGTTATTACAAATATTGAATATAAGAAATGGACTGTATAATTCTGGAAGTTGTTTCCAAACTGTATATAACATCAAAAGATTGAAAACTGGACAAATACATGTACTGTGTTTTACCCGTTTTTCAATTTTATTATGGAAGCC